GTAAGTTATTATCTTCTCTAAGACTCTTAGCATTACCTACGTGGTTCCACTTATACGCCAACAGATACATCGAACTCGTCTTCCCTCTCTTCCATACTTGTAACTTCGGATCAATCACTTCCACGCTTTAACCTACTTATATATCCCTTTTTATTCATTAGTATGTCTTTGTCTTTTCATCGGAAGTCAGAAAATCGTGGTTCAAAAGCTTACTCATGGGAATAGATAAACGCGACCCACCTTCATCCACATCGGTCTTAGTCAATGGCTTTTCCATTATTAATGGCTTTTCTATTATTAATGTCTCCTCCATACCTCCCTTCTCCATTATCTTGCTCTTTAACCTCTCATGCAGCTCTCGATTTGCTTCAAGCTCTTCCTCTTCTACTTGTTGATGTGGCTCCACTTCGACGACGTATTGACCTTTATACCGCTATACCACTATACCGTATTTGAAATCACTTGAACCTCTTATAAACATATTAATATGTAGCATCTACAAACTAAAATCAACATTTAGTTCTAATCTACGAAAGTGGCAAAAGAAAAAAAAAATTGAAACTACCATTAGCTAGTTAAATAAAAATGATATTACAAAATTTCAAATTTAAGGGGGTTTTGAGATATAATTCTAATTAGTGAGGTGTTTATTATTTATAGGAAAATTGTTGCTAACAAATGTGTAGGTAAAGAACAATTGAGTGTATGTTACCAAAACTAATTTGACTTAAATGAGTTTTAAATGCATTTAATTTTGTTTAAATGTAAGAAAATTCTTAGAAAGGTCAAAAGTTCTCAATAAATGTGGGAAACTTTATGATGGTATAATTAGTGAGTTGAATGAGTTAATTATATAGTTAAGATGATTAAAATTAGAAATATAAGAATTAAAAAAAATTTCCAATGCACCAATAGGGTGGGAGACAAAACTCAACTTAGGAGGATTATTTAGTTACTAAAATGATATTTCAAAATAATTTAATAATAATGTCATGTAAAAAATTATTTAGAGGTGTTTGCTTGTTGATAAAAAAAGTATATATATATATAAGTTATTTAAATGTGTCGGTAATACACAATTAAGTGTAGTAATTGGTTGGTCAACCATGAACATGGTGGAGAAAATTTTACCAAAATAATTTGATTTAATTGTGTTTCTACTGCATATAATTGTGTTTTAATGCAAGAAAATTCTAAGAAATGTTGAAGGACCCAATAAATGTACAAAACGTTTTAATGACATAGTTATTGAGCTAAATGAGTTAATTGTATAGTTAAGAGGATTAAAATTAGAAAGATTTAACAATAGTTTTGAATATAATGATATAATTAAATCTAATAAAATTTGATATTAGTGCATTTAGGTTTGAGAAAACATAGATGTCAAAATGATGAATGCTACACTATACAATTTTCAGGTTTATTTTTTTTTAATGAAAATAAAAAAAAAAAGAAAACAAATGTGTCATGGGGTTATTTTATTTAATTTTTCTAAAATCTGCTATTTATTTATTATCTTAAATGGTAGAAATGAAAGAAAACCAATTGTGAAAATATGTATATTAGTTATTTTAATATAAGGATATAACTAAATCAAATTATAATAGATATAAGTGTAATTAAGTTTGAGAAGAAAAAAAGACACATGCCAAAAAGAGAGATGTCACGTGTCAGTTTCTCAAAATTTGAGTTTGTGAAAATCTTACTTTCAAATATAAGGTTTTTGATAAATTAACTTAAAATATGTAAAACGTTGTAATTATCTTATATCTTACTTTATTTTCTATACATATCTTACTTTATTATATAAGATTTTTTGATAAATTAACTTAAAAGTATGTAAAATGTTGTAATTATTATTTAAATATTGATAAATGATACATAAGTAGAAATATATTTAACTACTAAGAAGACATTACAAAATTATTAAAATTACTGTCATGTGAATTATTTATTTCGTAACTATAAAAATAGAAAACATGTATAGAAAAGCACAGTTTCTGAAATATTAGAATATATAATCTTTACTAAAATTAACTACTAATAAATTTATTTGATGTTAAGTTTGTATTCTATTGAAAACAAAAAAAAATATTAAAATGTGTTTGGATAAAATGAAAGAAGACACATGTCACAATGAGAGGTGACACCTGTCAGTTTCTTAAAGATTGGTTTGAAGAGAAACTTTACTTTAATATATAATATGTAAGTCTACTAATATATTCGATACTCACTAAGCTTTCAAATGACCCCTAATCTTTTCCACGTTTTTGTTCTTTGGTCTTTAAAGTTAAAAGTTGGGTTTGAAGATATTGATTCCACTCTTGGTGTTACTCAAATCAATTTGAGTAGAAGAAATGCTTCTTCTTTTTTTTTTTTTCTTGTAGAGTATTATTTTTGGTTTTTTGAGAATCTAAAATCTTATATTTAATACAGCTAAACTATGGTTTTCTTAAGCTATATGAAGTTCATTTATAGAAGCAGCTAAAGTGATTATTTCATATCAAACAATACCAAAAATTTTTGTACTTTGCATCTCTTATTTAGTACTTTGATTCTAACATATTACGACAAAATACAGTTTTCTATATGAACTAACATTAATTTCACTAAAAACAGAAGGTAAATATGCAAATCTAATAAAACTCAATCTCACAAACCTTTTACATATTTGAGGCATTGCTCCAATGAAACAAAAGTAGATGGGATCAAGTAATGTTGTGTTTACCTTCCATTTTGCCAAAAGCTTGAATGTATTGTTCCGAAACTCTCAAGCTTGAGCCTGCTTATCACACCGCGATTAAGCATTTGAAAAGCAAAACAAGTAAACTTAAGAGTCAACATTTGCAAGTCCAATTATAAGCCATTGAAATCTCTATTCAAAATCTAGAGAGTTATTGGAAAATAAGTTAGATGACATAATGCATTCACATTTGAAGGGTTAACTAGCAATAAACACCTAGGTAATCAAGTTAGTTCATTAATATCACTATTCAGGAAATCATGCTTAGGAACCCACCTCCGCTCCCTAAGCTTGAATTTGATCTTAGGATTAATTAACAAGAGAGTGTAATTTTTCCTAAGCTATCTTAGGTAGGAAAAGTTACTACTCACAAAAATATTTAATTTCTCCAAAGCTATCTAGTTGGGCAAAAATTACTATTCACAAAGATATTTGGTTTAGGAATTTTTGTAAACTTATCGAACATGTTATTAATGTTTGTCTAGAAGTAGTATTCACAAAGAGATTTAGAATCTCTAGATTTTAGGCATAGTTACTCTCTGCAACGAGAGTTGATTGATTTTACAATAGCGATTTGAGTTCTAAAACGGTTCTTAATAAATTCCTAGAAATATATCCTATCTATGATTATAAATTTTCCTGAGAAGTTCTATGACCCTAAATATTTCTCTAATCGTTTACAACCCAAATTTAATTGCTTTTTGTATTTTAATTTCAATTTAATTCTTTAGCTTGATTTCGAAACTTACAATTTATTGCGTGAACAAAAGAACTTTGTGAAATTCGACTTTTAAGTACTACAATGATCTCTTATTTGAGAGAGTGGTCTAAGGCTAATTTTTGTTATCATGATCTACCCATCTCAAAAAATAGAGATAAACTATAATATGTAACTAATGTGTATGGTTATAAGAAATGTGTATGATTGTATAATGTTATGAGGTTATGTTTTTAGTTGATAATTGTGACCATATGCGATGATTTTTTAGTAATTGGAGCATTATGCTAGTCACAAAATATGGAATTGGAGCATTATGCTAGTCACAAAATACCATGAGTTTTGAGTAATTGTTACGACTATGCAACAAAAATTTAGTTATCATTTGTGACCATTTGAGACTATAGTTCTGTAATAAGGAGTTACAGAATTAAGACGTTATGTTAGTCACGTATTCCGATAATTTTAAGAAAATGTTCAGTCTGTAATTGAGAAAATTTTGTTACTTTTTTTTTTATAACTATTTATGATGAAATGGTAGATATATTTGTCGCAACTCTTGTGACGTTTTTGTTACAAATAAAAATTTGTGACGATTGTATTGCAACCATTCACAAATCGTCAAAAATTTGTGACAATGTTTATATTATAACAAAATAGTTTTTTTTTTATTATGACTAAATATTACATCTTAATAATATTATTTTCTTGTATGTCAATAAAGTTATAGAAAAATACTGAAAAATACAAAATATATTGAAGATATTTATAACTTTTTGTTTCTATATTATATATTAATTTCTAATATTATAAATTTAGTTATATCTCTATGTATTAATATTTGCATTTTGTAATTTTATATATATGGTAGTCAATAATAATTCTTCAATAACACAAACTTGTTCTACATTTCATCAATCGTTGAATAACTTCCAAGTATATTAGGCAAAAAATGAAAAGCTTGGTTTCCTTACAAGAAAACAGGGAAAATGACTGGAAAATGATTCGACAATGATTGATTTGAGCAGAATTCAAGCTCCAAGCACAGAGGCTCAACACTTGAGTTCCTTTGTTAAAGGAAAAGAGATTTGCATTTTCTCCTATTGCCAATCTTCGGATACACTCTTGAGGTTATATATGTAATATGCTTTGCCTCCTCCATAACACTCCACTATCGAAATTTTGGATATATGATGCTCTGTCAATTATTTTTCTTGTTTGGAAATCATGTCACAGCCACATGGGTGGACTGTTTGAAGACTTGAAAGTTAACGCAAAGTAACAAACAATTCGAATCTTGCTACCCCATTTCAAGAAGGATCGGTTTACGAGATGAATCTACGTGCATGTGAATAAAAAGTTAGGTAAGGTAACCATAAATAATTGACATTTACAATAAATATTTTAAGGGTATTACCTAACCATGAAATGAAAAAAATAACCATATTATAAAACTCTCACTTAAAACGTGGGATACTTTTTTTTTGTCGGCAACGCCAAACATTAATATATATCACTTATGATCCTATCCACTAATTCAGTAGACTATAATAACATGTACTAAAGTCTTGTCCAAACAGAAATATCTTTTTATCTTTTCAAAGAAGCTTTGAAGATTCATGGCGATGTCTAACGTACAACCTCTGCTTCTCCTCGTCGCATCACTCTTCTTCTTACCGGCTTTGCACGGCGCCATCGATTTCGAATACTGCGGCAGTAAGTATCGATTTGTTTAGTCCTCATTCTCTGTTTATTATTTACAAAAAAAAAAAATCTTATAGTTGATAAATCAATTGAACAAGTTGTGACAAAAATCTTTACATATCGTCTCGAATTTGAGAAAACATAAACCCTAACTCTCGACATTTGGAATTAATCTCTCTGGTTAGGCTTTGGTTACTTGAAGAACAAAAAAAAAATTGATATGAAAAAATCGCATTTATTTATGTAAGAAAGATGTATAGATCTTTTTTTTTACAACAACTCGGAAGTTTCACAACTAATCTATGCGATTGTTGCAGAAAATGGAAACGATTACGGTAACGTCAACCGTATCGAGATCTCTCAGAACCCGTCGGTTGGGCCTGAAGAAAGCTCAAGCCTCACTATTTATGTATACGGTTCTGCAAGTACGTATTTTTTTTTAATCTTATCTAAATTTTAAAATTCTCTCTTTTGTTTTTTTTTTTTTTTTTTCTTTAGTTTTCAAATTTTTCTTGATAAAATATTTTTTGTTATACAGGCAAAAACATCACCGTGGGAACTCTTGTATACGTAACCTTTAAAGACGGGGAATTTACTGGTCTTTTAAAGACTTACAATCTCTGTGATGTGAGTGCTTGTAACACTGAAGCTGAGATTGAAGCTGGCACTAACTTTCTGTTGACTCTTCCCGAAGTTCTTTATGTTGGTTTTGATGAGGTAACTATTCTTACATTCTTTACATAGTGGAAAAAAATTATGAATGAATGTGATTTTCCTTAATCCTAGGACTATTGTTTTCAAACCCAAACGGACCATGTTAAACCATGAACCGGATGGCAAGCCGGTTTGGACAGACTAAATAACTAAAACCGATGAACCAATAAAACCGGTTGACATGAGTTTTTTTTTTCTTTCAAGACTTGGCTTTATTCTTAAACATCACTTCCGTTTTAATTTTACTTAGTTTTTAACATGAACTTCAAAAGTAATACTTTCTACTTGGTTTTTTATTTTGATTACTATTTCATGATGATGATCTTTATTTCTTATTAATCCTGCTTGTTTTCCATTTTATCATGTGTTGGATATCTTAGTGGTCGATATAAAAACATTATGTGTTATACACCTACTGAAAACCTGCCTAGGACGTGTTGGTTTCATTAACACTACTTTGTGATTAATTACCATATATCCCCTTTAAAATTGGTCAATCCAAATAAACCAAATCGGACCAAAATGAGTTTTAATGTTCTATGAACTTAAACCAAACCTACCTATACTAGTTTGTTTTCGCTTTAGTAACTATTTGCTATATATAAAAATAATAATTCATAATCCTTGCATTTAACATTTCCACTTCTTATTTTTTGAACTTGTGAAGGAACTCAAGTACTCAGTTTCTTTGCGCCAAAAGTACGTGGATGAGCCAATAATAAATATGTGTGTCGACTTCAAACTACCTACTCCTTCAGCTTCTACATTGTTCTCTGCTTAGTCAAGTTGGCGGAAAAATAGATGTTTCCAAGTCTTTGATTATTATCAGTCTCTCGCTACTTGCATTTCCTTTTTTTTTTTGTATGTGTTGTCCAACAAATAAAATAGACATATCTCTGTAGTGCTTTTGGTTTGGTTTTTTTATGAACCACAACGTAATTCAAACAATAAAAGACTACTTGAATAACCCGTTCTACTTGCATCTTGTGACACAATTCTTCAACAGTCCTGAGATGAAGTAGAATATCGTGACACGATTTTAAATGTCGTGACATGGTTTGCATCTTGTGACACGATTCTTAAACAATCTTGAGATGAAGTAGAATATTGTGACAAGATTTGTACCATGTGACACAAATCCTCAATAGTTACACAATTTTTTTTTCTCTTAAATATCGTGACACGATTTGTATTATGTGACACAATTTCTCAATAGTGACACGATATAAGCAAAGCATCTTCTTATGTGAATGAACGAAAACTTGTTTGTTATGCCTACATTTTGCTATATATCACGCAAACTAGCACAAAATATTCATCAACCACAAAACCATGACTTGAATCCATAACTTCTTTTTCTTTACATAACCAAAACACATAAATTTGATCAAGTGTTTTAACCAAGGAAAAAATGTGTTTATCAAGACTTAAACACCAAACTTCACTTATCTCTTCTCTATCTTTCTTTTCAAAACACCAAACACAAAATTTTATTTTCAAAAATTTATTTCTTGAATATCATGTATGTTTTAAAATTTTTAATTTGCAACAATTCTTAAGTTTTCTAAAATTAAAATTTTTAATTTAATTTTATATTTATATTAATATTTTTTTTTCTAAGAACCACAATTAAGAACTTATTATTGGAGACAGATAAAATTTAAAATAAAATTACAATTTCTTAACTCTAAACTTTACAATATATAAGATGTCTAAGAACCACAATTAAGAACAAATGAAAAGGCCTTAGATGAGCCAGAGAGTCATGAGGTTCCTGAACTTCTTTCGCCTCCGCCTTGCTGTTATGGAGTTTATGATCAGCCGGTCAATGTCATTGAAAATGGAAAGCGGCGGAATGACGATTTGATTATGAATAAGATTGTTCCTCTGACGCCATACACTATAGACCAGAGCATGAACAAGGAGAAGCCTTAGAGTTTGCGGAGCAGTAGGGCTCCTTTCCTTAGACCAGGTCAAAAAATCCGACCACTCATGAAAAGCAAGTAGACGGAGACGGGCCAGGCTGAGACTCCAGAGAGCATGGACATAAGGGCAGTGTAGAAAGAGGTGATATCTTGTCTCCACAGAGCCACCACATAGGCAGCAGTCTGTAGTGATTTGCATTCCCCAGGAAGCGAGTCTAGACCTGGTAGGGAGTCTGTCCAGATTTGTAATCCATAGGTGGAAAGCATGTTTAGGGGTTGACCCTTTGAACCATATCAAATTAGACCAGTCCTTAACTGTGTGTCTAGGCCTAAGAACCTCCCAGGTCTTACTTGAAAAAAAACCTCCACAAGCCTTATCCTCAACATACCAATCATAATAGTCATCCCCATTAGAAGCATTAGGTACCTGAATTGTGGTTAAGTAGACCTGCAGGGCAAGAGCAAGGTCAGATCTAGGAGAAGCCAATCTCCAGCCCGTAGAGTTGGAGGCATCGGCAACACGTGCGTTCCTGGGCACCCGAAGGTCCAGAATCTCCCAGCTTCTCTAGCAGAGGACCGAAAAGGAGTCCAGTTCCAAACCCAGATTTCTCTCTATAACGGAGTTTGGAATCTTGACGCAGGCTTCACCCGATGGCAGGATAAAAGCTTTTCCTTTTTTGGAGAGGTTCTTCGACGGTCCTTTGAAGAGGTCAACCCAAGGATCCTTTGAAATTTTCGGCGGAGAGCTCTTTGGATCCTGTGGTTCCTTTGGCTCTACGGAATTAGAGACTACAGCAACAGACTTGGATTGAGGCAAGGAGATATCAATCGAAGACACTAGTGGATCGGGAGGATTAGCGGATATAACCTCCTCGATTTGTTGACCTAGATCTAGTTCGCCAGAGGCTAAGGTCTTTGAAATGGCTGAGCCTGTCGCAAGAGCGGTGGCTGAGGCATTATGTGATGGTTTACTCGGAAGCTGCGAACCTTGAGAAGTCCCCGAAGAAGACCCTAAAGTTTGCTGCTTTTGTTGCTTGTTTCCCAGATCTGACGAGACGACAATCTGGGTTTGAATAATGGCTGAGCCCTTCTCGGCGGAGAGAGCTGAGGCATTCACTGGGGAGCCCGGAGCGACAGTCGACCCAGACGGAGATTGCGAGACCCCTCCATCAGAAATTGATGGGGACGACGCCGGAGAGGTAGAGCGGAGAAGGGAAATCCCTCCAGGAGGCTTCTTCTTTGCTTTCGAGGACTTCCCCATGAGGAGGGGCGACGGATTCCGACGCCGTGAGAGACGCCGAAGGTGAGAAGAAAAAGACGTCAATTTCGGCTGTTTTAGAGAGAGGTTTTAGAGAGAGGGGTTTCAGATGGATTGTCGGCTCGATTGGCTTGCTAATTATGATTTGATAAAATAATCACTATTTGTCTAAACTGCTCTCTAAATTCTTACTTCAAAAATAGAGAGTGGGAGTTATAAGGATTGAAATTTTCTTATTGATAGAGAATGAGGCTTACATCTATTTATACAATCATAAGGGAATTAGGGTAAAACTAATTTACATAATTTACAATTAGATCCTTAAGTTAGTATTACTCTTATACGCCCCCTCAAGATGGAGGTATACATGTAACTCCAATTTTGACACATGCCTGTTGGAAACGTGATCGCGGAAGTGGTTTGGTGAGCATATCAGCCAACTGATCATCGGTGGAAACATAAATACTCGCAGCATTCCACGCTCGGATCTTCACCTGCCACCGCCGTCGCTAACGTCATCACTGCAGGTATCATCTTCTCACTCATCCTCTTCCTCTTCTACAAATTCTGAGCCTACTGCTCCATCTATACATGAGTCGCAAACCTCGACTCAGCAAACCTCTACTTCCAATGAGCCCACTGCACAGAGACAGAATGAGTTGCAACCCACAACACAGTGACAGTCACAATTAAATTCTCAAAATCCACACCAAGTCGTGCCTTTACAACCACATAACCAAAATAATGAGCCACCTCAAAATAACCACAATATGCAAATCAGGACCAAAAATAATATTAGAAAACCTAACCAGAAACTCACTCTCACAGTCAAAACAAGGAAAAAGCAGCAGAGTGAACCAACAACAATAAATCAGGCGTTAAAGGACAAGAATTAGAGCCGTGCCTCATCACTTGAATTCGATGCTCTTATGGTCAATCAAACATGGGATTTAGTTCCTCCACAAGCAAGTCAGAATGTTATTGGATGCAAATGGGTCTTCACAACGAAATTCCTTTCCAACGGTTTGCTTGATCGGTACAAAGCAAGGCTTGTTGCGAAGGGATTTCATCATAAATATGGGCAAGACTATGCCGAGACATTTAGTCCCGTAATCAAGTCCACAACCATTCGTGTCGTTCTGGAAGTTGCAGTCACAAAGGCATGGACGATCAAACAACTAGACGTCAATAATGCCTTCCTACAAGGAGAACTAACCGAAGAAGTCTACATGTCTCAACCACCTGGATTCATTGACAAGGATAGACCATCATTTGTGTGTCAAGAAACCAATCTACGGCCTCAAACAAGCACCGCGTGCGTGGTACACGGCACTCAAGCAATACCTTTTGGACGTTGGATTCCAATTACCTAGCTGATGCGTCCCTTTTTATTCATAGCTCCGCCGCCACCACAACGTATGTTCTTGTTTATGTTGATGATATTATTGTCACAAGTAATAATAACAAGATGGTGAATCAAGTCTTAGCCTCCTTTGCCGAACGGTTCTCTATAAAAGATCCGACCGATCTTCATTATTTTTTTGGTATAGAGGTCACTCGTACAGCCAAAGGAATGCATTTGATGCAACGACGCTATGTCACTGATCTTCTCACTCGCCACAATATGCTGGATGCTAAGCCGATTACAACGCCGTTACAAGCTGCTCCGAAACTCACTTTAACCAACGGCGACCCGCTCGAAGATGCCTCACAGTATCACTCTCTTGTTGGAAGCCTTCAATACCTAGCGTTTACGCGACCTGATATTTCCTATGCCGTTAATCAACTATCTCAATTTGTTCACAAGCCGACTCATGAACATTGGCAGGCCGCTAATTTACATAATTTACAATTAGATCCTTAAGTTAGTATTACTCTTATAGGAGCAAGTTGTTAGGTATAATTTTTACCATTTGGGATAAAAAAAAATCGAACCAATTTTGCCAGACCAAACCAAACTGAGGTTTTGGCAAATCGGTTCAGGTGGTTATAGCAAGTAAACCGATCGGACAACATATAAATTAGACTTGGTTAACCGTATGGTTCGGTTCGATAGCGGATAACCGAACGGTTAACCAAAAACTGTAAACCACTTCGTTGTCTTCATCGGCCACCATCCTCTTCATCGTTGGGCTACCACCGTCTTCACTCTTTCATCGTCTTCATCTCGAGTCGCTGCGATCATCATCCGCCATCATCGACTTTGAAAGCTTTTTCTAATTCTAAGGTTTGTGTCTATGAGTAAGGTTGAATAAGAAAGGCATGAAACGCCGTTTCATCATCGTTCTATTATTTTATCCCTTGACTTGGCCCAATTTTTTTATGTTTTTTTTTCCTTTTTTTTGGCAAGAGCTCAGAAAGAAAAAATTTTGGACCAAAACCACTCCACTGAATTAAAAAACTGAACCGAAATAACCGTATTAACCGAAATGAAACCAAATTAACCGAATTTTAACCAAAAAAACAAAAGTTTCCGTTAGTTTCGGTGAAAATATAAATAACCTAAATTACCGAATACCGAACCAAACCGAACCTATTATTTTTTCCAAATACTTTTGATAAAATATTTGAAAAACCGAAAAAACTAAACTTATTTAACCGAACTCGCAGGCCTACTTTAATCAATAAAGAGATTATATTTGACTAGTACATATAAATACTTTAAACTAATACATTTATTGTGTAACTTATAATATTTTTCTTCTTATAACGACTAAAAATTTAAAAATCATTTTAAAAAATTCGTATGATTAGTAAATATATTATTAATTTTTTTCTTTTTTCTTATTTTTCTCTTTTCGAATATATTAATTTCTTTGAACTAGAAATTTTACCAAAATCGAAGTAGAAAAAAAAAATAGAGCCAAAGATAACTGAGGTTACTGAGCTACCCTTAATTTCTTTTGGGTAACAAATTCTAACACGACTAAGCCCAGACCACACCGAAGTGGCCCATATTTATAAAACGTTCCATCTTCTCTTAATTTTTTACTCCTTGACAACAATTTATACTCGTCCTTTTTCTTTTGTTGGAGCCTAAAAGAAAAAATCTGAAACCCTAAACGACGAACAAAGTGGATTCTCTATTTGAAGGATATAGTCTCCATTGATTTTTGAAACACATGGAGAGGGATAAAGAGATGATTATGGTATCTATGTTTTGAAGATTCTCTTTGATTTCAAAGAATTGGAGCCTCGCCCGTAAACCCCAGTTCGTTGACTCTCGTTTTTGCTTCTGTGCCTCAATTTTAGTTGTTTCCTATCAACGACGGCATTTTGTTTACAGATTGAAACGACAACGTTTAAAGTTTACAGATCGAAACGACGACGTTTAGTTTGCAGATAGAAACGACGACGTTTAGTTTGCAGATAAAAACGACGACGTTTACACAGACGAAACGGCGACGTTTTCTTCAATATAAAACGATGACGTTTACCCTACCGAAACGACGACGTTTACCCTACCAAAACGACGACGTTTACTCGGACAAAACGGCGACGTTTTGTTTAATATAAACGACGACGTTTACCCCAAACGAAGCGACGACGTTTGGACATCTAAACACGACGTCGTATTTATTAAACCCTACAAACGACATCGTTTTTGGTAGTATTAAAGCGGCAGCGTTTTTTGTTTAGTTAAAATGACGACGTGTCACTTTGGTAACTGAAACGGCGACGTTTGTACAGAGTAAAAACGACGGCGTATATCAACTAAAAGTGACGACGTTTTATTAACACTAAAACGGTGTCATTTTAACAATTGGAAACGGCGACGTTTATGACTTTAATACGGCGGCGTTTAAGTCGTTAAAACAACTTTAAACAAACGACGACGTTTAGCAAAATGAAACGACAGTGTGTTGTCTTGTATGCAGACGAAAGAGATTCGCATTTCAGGCGAAAAAATTCAACTTGGTGGAATTGGTCATGTCTGGGAATCTCAGTGTCTCTGCGACCTAATTAGTAACTAAGCCCACAACACACCGAAGCGGCCCATAATTATAAAACCTTTCCCTCTTCCCTTTTATTTTACTTTTTCTCACCAATTTACACTCATTTTCTCAAGGATTGGATTTTACCATTTGGAGCCAAAAAAAAATAAATCTGAAACCCTAAACGACGAACAAAGTGAATTCTCTGCTGTCACGACTGATTTCGTGAATTCTTTGTCATCTTCTCTTAAGGTACGTGAGATTCAAATCTTTATCCGATTGGTAATTTTGGATATACTCAAGCAAAATTAACCATTTACAACAACACCTTTGTAGATTTGTGTGAGATATAGAATAAGATAGTTCGAACAATTAAGCATTTAGAATTAGATTAAATCTGTATTTATAAATACATTTTTTTGTTTATATGTAGAAGAATGGCACCATTGAGTATGAAAAAAGAAGCATCTGGAGCTTTAAAAAGAAAAAAGAGAAAGAAGCAGCAAGAATTTTTGAAGTCCCAAGCCAATGCTATTTTAAAGTTTGTTAAGAAGAAACCTCAAAGTTCTTGCAGAGTTGAAACAGTTGTCGATTCTCGAATAAACGACAATGAAGATGTCGATGATATTGGTCGGAAGAGCAACGTTGTTCAAGAACATTTGGATGAATGTAAAGAAAAGCAACCCAAAAACTCTAGCAGAGTTGAAACAGTTGTCGATTCTTCTCGAATAAACGAGAACAAAGATGTCGATGATATCGGTCAGAGAAATGTTGTTCCTGAACATTTGGATGTATGTAAAGAGAAGCAAAAACGGGTTGTGTATCAAAGCAAGGGAAGTGAAGAGAGGAAGAAAGATGTTTGTGAAGATATTTCTGATCCTGGAAATTGGGGAAATGTTGATATGAAATTGAGAGATTTATTGGTTGAAAACGGTCCAACGACAAGACTATCAACTGATTATCGGTTTCCTAAGGACGGTATTGGTAGACATTTCTCGCATGCCTTCTACACGAGAGAAATGGTTAACGGTGAAAAACAAGATCGTCGATGGTTGGTTTACTCCGAAACTTTAGATAAAGTTTTCTGTTTTTGCTGCAAGTTGTTTAGACATGAGAAAAACAGTGGTGGTAACTTGGCAACAACGGGGTACAATAATTGGAAGCAGATTTCGACTAGGCTCAAAGAACATGAAAATTTTCATGATCATATTGCTTGCATGACTCAGTGGAAAGAGTTGGAGGTAAGACTACAAAAGAATCAGACAATTGATAAGCTGTTTAAGTTTTAGCTGTCTTGTCTTAGGTGAGATTGGTAAGTTTGTGTTTTGGAAAATGTGTTTATTGGAAACTATTTAGTGAGGTTCTAGCGTAAGTTTCCGATGATTCAGAACAACATTTGTTTTTTTTTTTTTAATGTAAGGGTGGTTTGTTTATTAATATGATTTGTTTTATATGCAAGTTTTAGTACATTTTATCTGCCTTTGAGAATCCTGCAAATAGGTTAATAAGAATTAAGAAGTAAACATTTGGCCGGCATAGAATCCAAGAGAGAGCAACAGAACCGCAGCCGCGGGAACAACCACACCAGCCGTAAGTGCTGTTCTGTTATTCTTCATCAGTGCAACATATCCTCCAAGATTTTCCTTGTATTCATTCACTTTACTTCTATAATCTTGGTTAAGAGCTTCTTCGTTCTCTCTTGCTGGCTTTGGCGATTGAATCTTTTCGGCCTGTTTCTCTTGTTCCGCTTCTTTCTCTCTTGTTTCCTTTTGTGGTTGGACCTTCTCTTTCGCTGCCGGGCTAGGAAGCTTGGGATCTTCCTTAGGAACTGGAGGAGGTGCTGTGGTTGAACCAATAGGTGAAGTTTGTTTGCCCATTGGCTCTAGTCTAGGAAGCCTCACAACAAGATTTGCACCTTCGAATTTGGCAGAGACAGAGTCAACGTCGATGTTTGGAGGAATAGGAAACTCTTTGCGGAAACGGATCCATTTGTTGGCTCCTGCAGGACGATCTCCCATCACTCTCAGCCTCCTCGTGGTGGTTACTTGCACCTTAAGCTGCTCTCTCCTAAACCCTGTTTATTTCAAGAAACGGTTAACACAATTCAAGAACCGGTTCATAAACCAAAATCAAAACGAAAACAATGCTAGAGTTTGTTGAGAAATCAAACCTGGAAGGTAAACAGTGAGAATTTCGAATCCTTGTTCAGTTTTCCAATTTGAGAGTGGCTCGAATTCATCGTAGACGCGATTAGCATTAGCATGATCAGAAATTCTCTCCATCTCTTAATTTCTTGGTTTGAATTTGGAATAAGAGGATTTTGTGTTATGTTGATACAAGAGAGTATCTAAGCGATTTCATTATATACCAATGAAAAGATGAATTTTCTAAGTTGTTTTCTTTGATATTGGGTTATTCCTTAACTTTGCCTATCTATTATGATCCCTTTCTATAAAGTTCTTTCCTTTTTATATGCATTTTTACAACTTTCTTTTCCAATTCTCAAAAAAGTGAAGAAAATAAAATTTGAAAAATAGGAGAAATGCTTTGCTTTGTGGAGATGGCTTCATGTAGGGAACAAAATAACAAGTTTCTGTTGTTAAAATTGGAGGACCAACGAGGATGATGCTTTTCTCTAAAATAATTTAATGTCTCTCCTAAGTTTATTAGACAACGTACAAAAACATCTACAAAAGCAAACCCACGTTCATGTCTCTCCTAAGGATTTTACTATTAAGAAGATATTGTTAATATTTAAACCTTTGAATCACATATGTAAATGTTTTGGATTTAGTTTACTTATCAACTATGATTATAAATTACCAAAACTAATGAATCTTTCAACCAACAATATAGTATTCAAATTAATTAGTCCTTATTTCACTCGAAGCAATATATATTCTTCAAATTCAAAGGTGGAATCATTACGAACTTCCAACATGTTACGTACATAGTCGTAATTTTTTTTTTAACATCAACTAATGTAATTATTTCTATCATAAAGATATATATTTTGTTAAACCACTACTTTAACACTCATAGTACAAGGTTTAAAATCAATGTTTTTTTTTTTTTCCTTATGGTTAAAATATATTAGAATGATAACAGAATCCATTACAACATAATCTTGAGCACAATCAAGATGTAGCCAGCTTAGAGAAAGGAATACACTCTCTAACCCTCCAAAAAATGAGTCAAAGAAAAAGACAACTGAAGTTAAGAAATTAAAGAAGCAAGTCTCTCCTCTTCAAACAGTCCATGCAACCAAACAGGATGGCCTGCCGCCACATAATCCTGAAATCTTCCATCGGAAGTAACACTTTGAGCAATAAAAGAAGATCCTCTGTTTGAAGCAGCACTTACAACCTCCAACTTACAGTCCTTAATCTTATCCAAAAAATGATTAATCTCCACCACCTGATGACTGAAAGAAGGCCATGCTTTAGGTCTCGCCATAGCACCAAAGATATCATGAGCCTCAGCCGCAAAGATAACCTTATTTATCTTCAAGCTGAACATGCTCTCCATCGCCCAAGTCAGACACATAAGCATGGCCTCTTTTTTGTTGTTCAGACCACGAAAAACCTTCCTACTATGTACTTTAACCTTCCCATCCACACCTCTAACCACCCAAGCACCCCCACCTAAACGATTCCTGTTAGATTAAGACAAGGAAATGTTGCACTTAGTCCACAGATCAGGAGGCTTTTCCCACTTTTTAACTTTTGAGCCAGTGAAACTCTCCAATTCCTCTTCCACATTCTGGGCAACATTCTGAGCCAACAACCACTCATCAACATCATCCCAGATTTTTCTCATTGAATCCTGAGGACAAAAACCAATACCCTCAAAGAAGAACTTATTCCTGTTCTTCCACAACCTCCAAAGAATCCAAGGGAAAACTCTTTTGGATCTCAAATCCAGCCTTTATCCACAGAAAACTCAAACAGAGTTTGAAAATTCGCATACAGAGAGCTAACCCCACCACAAAGAGACCAGAGAGAGCCCAAACCTGTCTAGCCACCGAACAAGAGAAAAGAATATGGTTTACTGATTCAGTCTCTTCACCACAAGTTTCATCTCTTGTCAGCTACCATACCTCTATGTATGAACTGCTCAGCCACCGATTAGGCCCCACTTAAAGCTCTCCAAAAAAAGATCATGATCTTAGGAACTGTTTTAATATACGAGATCTTTTCCTTAAGCCCATTCACTGACGGCTGCATCCTAGCTTGCAACAAGAAATCTGTTTTGTTCACCTCACAAGCCAGCAAATACCCTGTCTTCACTGTATAATCACCACTCTTTGTATCCCAGGAATAAAAATTATCCCTATCCACTCCAGGTTTTTGCAGCAAAAATGCGACTAATATCATTAGGGAAAAAATGTTCCTCCAGGGCCTCTCTGTTCCAAGTTCTATTCTCCCTATCAATCAAATCCACCACTTTCATATCATAATTAATGATAGGATTATTGATATAGGGAGCTCTCATCACATTGTCATAGACCCAAGAGTCCATCCAAACACTTAGGGACTTACCATTGCCCACCATCTTCCTTAACCCTTTGATTAGCAATTCTCTACCATGAACAATGCTTCTCCAACCAAAGGAAGGCATTGACCCAATCTCAGCTTCCAAAAATTCCTCATCCTCAAAATATCTGCTTTTTAAGACTTGAGCCAATAAACAATCCTTATCCTGCACACATCTCCAAGCCTGTTTGGCCAATAAGGCTTGATTAAAACATTCAATGCCCCTGAACCCTAAGCCACCATCCTTCTTAGACAAGCACAATTTGTCCCAACTCACCCAATGAATTCCTCTTATGTTCTAACGCACTCCACCAGAAGTCACTCATCGCACTAGTAATATTCTGACAAGTGGTCATAGGTAGTTTGAAACAGGACATCGCATACACTGGCATTACCATAGCCACCGCCTTCAGCAGAATCTCTTTCCCACCCATGGAGAGAGACCTAGCAAACCAACCAGAAAAGCGAGACTTAAGACGATCTTTTATAAAATCCAGCATCTCAATCTTGGAACCAGAAAAACATTCAGGCAGCCCCAAATAAGATCCAGCACCTCCTTCATTGGATATACCCAGCTGAGCTTTAATAGCTACTTTAAGACTGTCATCCACCTTATCTCCAAAGGTTATAGAAGACTTAGCATAATTAATCTTTTGACCTGTTGCTTCACCATACTCGTTGAAAATCTCTTTAATGACCCTCACCTGATCAGAATCAACTTTGCATAGGAACAAACTATCGTCAGCAAATAGTAAATGATGAACCGACGGCCCATCCTCAGAAAACTGAATCCCATTCAGCAGTCCCTGTCTTTCAGCTCTATTCATCAAGTGCGTCAATCCTTCAGTGCATAGAATAAACAGAAAAGGAGAAAGCAGATCTCCTTGTCTCAAACCTCTTCCAGGCTTAATCATACCATACAGCTGGTCATTGATTAGAACAAAAGACACCGAAGAAACGCAAAACATAATCCAACTAACCTATTTCTTGTGAAACCCCAATGCATTCAACAAAGCTAGAAGATAGGACCATTCAACTCTGTCCTACGCCTTTGACATATCAGACTTGATCGCCATGAATTGTTTAGAAATTTGAGGATGAGTCCTTAGACCATTCACCAATTCATGAGCTATCAAGATATTGTCTGAAATAAGCCTTTGAGCCACAAATGCCGACTGATTAGAGGAGACAATATCTCCTAACCAGGGCTGCAATCTTCTAATCATGACCTTAGAGATTGTCTTATACAAAACAGAGCACAAATTTATGGGGCGCAAATCAGACATCTTCTCAGGAGACTTCACCTTAGGCAATAAGCATAACAGAGTGTAATTCCATTCAATGGGGAACACATCATTGATGAAAAACCTGTGAATTTCCTTAGTCACCTGAGCCCCAATCACTGACCAAAACTTTTGGAAAAACAAACCATTAAACCCATCAGCCCTAGGTGCACTAGAAGGTCTAATAGCAAAGATAGCTTCTTTAATTTCCTTGTCTGTAACTTTAGAGATCAGAGCATTGTTCATACCTTCAGTAACTCTTGGCTGGAAATCCTAAAAAAGATCTTGAAAATTCCCAGGTGATGATGAGGTAAAGAGGTCATTGAAATAAGCTTGGGCAATATAACCTTTAGAAGCTTTAGAAGACTGCAAATTCCCATTGATATCCATCAGCTTAATCAATCTTTGCTTGCGTCTATTAGCTTTCACTGAAGCTTGAAAGAACTTAGAATTTTTATCACCTTCCTTCATCCATTTTTGCCTGCTCTTCTGTCTCCAGAATATTTCTTCATCTTTATAAGCCTCACACAGACTTTTTTTTCAGACCTGTCACAATTCTTAGTCTAGGGAAATTAGAAGACTGTTCTTCCTCTAGACCAATCTGAGCTTGAATGATTTTGTTTCTGGCATTTAAATTATGAGCACGTTTCTACTTGCTTAACTCCTTTCTGCACATCTTTAAACACCCAGAAACATTGACCTCTCTATTCCCAATACCACTCCTCCAAGCTCTTTGCACAGCCTCTTTAACATCTGGTTTGTTCAAAAATCGCTTATCAAACTTAAAATTACCTCTGTAGACCTCCTTAGTAGTTGTGAGTCTGATTAAAACAGGTCTATGATCAGAGCCTCTCTTATCCAAAAAGGTTTGATTAGCAATAGGAAAGTGTTGAAACCAAGCCTTATTTCCAAAAGATCTATCAAGCTTGCTCTGAATCCAAAGATTTCCTCTCATCCCTCCCCAAGTCAGACTATTCCCTTGACTAGGAAGTTCATTCATCCCGTAAGCTTGTAGCATATCTTTGAATGGAAGAAAAGAAGCATCACCTCTTCTAGGACCACCCATCTTCTCACCATTATGAATGATGGCATTGAAATCCCCCACCATACACCAACATTCATTTCTTTGGATTCCAATCCTCAGGCCCGGCCCAAGGTAAATTGCTGCCTAAAGCAAAAAAAAAATTTTTGTCCATCATTAAACATAGTTAAAAAAAATTTATAAACGAATTACACTAGGAAGGTTCGAACTCACCAACTATGTTGAGAGAAAGGAGGTGTTAACCACTCTACCACAATAAATTTCTGTAAAATGATGCCCCAAAATTCTTTTATAGACATTTGCTGCCTAAAGCCCATATGCTTTACGGGCTTTAGCCTTGGGCCGGCCCTGCCAATCCTTGAGATCCTTTCCCATAGCATCGGTCTATCCACACTAGCAGGTTCTCCATACACACAAGAAACAAAAAACTCAACTGACCCAAACTGTACACACAAGTCTATTAGATTCTTATCCGCATACTTGATCTCCACCTTTACACCTTTCTTCCAGAAAAGAGCCAGCCCACCACTTAAACCAACTGGATTGACAGTAAACACTCTTTCATACCCCAACCACTCTTGCATATCTACAACCACATTCCAACAGTTTTTTGTTTCCATCAAGAACAATAACTCAGGGAAGAATTCCTTGCGGATTTCCTTGAGTCTAGAAATCGTCAAGTCTTGTGCACGGCCCAAGCCGTGACAATTCCAACTTAGAATGCTCATTATTGATGGGACGGTCCCTCCTTTGGGACCACCTTATTGGTGTTGCACTTGGAAACTTTTGATGGAACTTTAGCCTCATCCGCAGCTTTCCTTTTGTACACCACCAACTTCACTGGTCCAGCCAGCCCAACTTGAGAACCTTCAGAAATTGGAACCTCCACTATCCCAGCACCACTAACCGCAGCCTTACTACCTTTGCGTCTCCTAGTCTTGAAAAGTCTTTTTCTCGGTTTATCATTCTTTAGAAAGGTCCCGGAAGAACTAGCTTCAGAGAAGCCTGTTCTAAATACCGTTGAACCTTCAGCAGAAGGTAAACCAGGATCAGACACAAAAGAAGCTTCTCCTCTCATACTAGAAAAAGAATTCCCAGTAGACCAACTCAAATCTTTCTTTCCTTGACCTTTTGAAAAACCATCCTTATTGTTCTTCACCGTCTTTATCCCTTTATCAGCCCCAATATTTAAATTTGCATACTGGAAAATCAACCCTTTGCCTTTAGAGATATCCCCTGAGACCAGTGGAGAAGACTCAAGTCTAAGACAAGTTTTCTCCCCTAAGGGATCATTCTTTAAATCTTCCAAAGATTTCTTTATTCTTTCCTGTCTTGTAATTTTTTCAGCACCCTCCGCCACCAACAAATACTATCTCATTCCATCCAACACCTCAGGAGCAATACGCGGCCAACCAGTCATTGGATTTAAACCAACCTGATGCTCTTTCACCACTCCAAACAGCAGGTCAGCTTCCTTAATTATCTTCTCAGGCTCTTTGGGGATCCCTTTACCTTTTTGCTTATCAAACAACAACTTGTCTTCACGCATAGAGATCTGAATTGGAGACTTACTCTGCTCATGAGTCATTCTTTGACAAGTAAATCAACGCTTTTGAACCCTTTCAAAATCAAAGAGAATGTTGATCGGAACCCCTTTGAAATGAACAATCTTAGCTTCTCAGAGGCTCAGACACATCAAACATAATCCTGACCCGCACAAAATCTTGATTCTGAGGATTTTTCAGATCCAAAATCACTTCCTTCACGACCTATGAGCTCTCCCAACACTGTAATAGCTTCAACAGTGTAATGATTCACCGGAATGTTTCTAATCTGGACCCAAACATTGATGAACTACAAGTAATCCACCGGAGGATTCTTAACCCATCTATCGATCACAATCACCCAATCATTAAATGTATGAACACCTCTTTCTAGAATTGCTTCCATCTCTTGTTCATGCTTGAAGATAAACTGAAACTTCTCTTGAGACAAAGCAACACCACGAACTCTTCCAACCATTTGCCACTTCCTTGGCATATTCATAATCAGACTTGACATTTTCTGGCAATCAGGGTTGAGAAGACGACCCATTATGCTCAGAACATTCTTCTCACTCGAACAATACTCCGGCAAATCCGGCAACACAAATGGTTCTTCTTCTTCTCGCAACGAAAGAGCCATCAATGCTCGATCAATACTAGCAGACATCTTCAGAAAACGGAACTCGAAACGAAACAGACAACTTAACTCTCAGATCTAACGAAACCCAGAAGCGGCTGCGAAGAACCCTAGAGAAAAACACTCACAAACACTAACCCAATCGAGAATTTGCGAAATTAGGTCACTTAACACTCTTTTTCTTACATATCCACTAAACCGGAATGGTTTTCCGAAACAGATGCTCTACAATGAAAGACTCTAATTCAAAGAAAGAGACTTAAGACCAAATAAGGGAAACTAAGTTATTGAATCTTTAATTCTTTTTTGTTCACAAACAGTTTTTTTGATTAAAACAAAAAGTTTCCCACTGTTTAAAATCAATGTTATAGCTTCACAACTTCTCAAAAGTATTTTCTTATTCTTTTATTAAATAAAACTCAAGTTTTATCATAAATAAATCAATTAAGAGCAAAAATAATAGCAGCGGCACGTCTTAGGAGGAAGGCAAATACTAGCCACAGGGCCCTTCTTCAGCTTGTCACATGCAGATTTACATTCCGTATGAATACATTTTCCAGATTTGTTAGGAATATTAGTATGGCATTGTTCTCGTTTTCCTTGTTGCACATTTCCCATTACTCCTGTTTGTGTCATATTCAGAACATAAATCTTAGTAACTATATATATATAAAATAAGAAAAGTCGTTTTAAGTAAATTATTATCTGACTTAAAATATCACAAAATATATTTTTTGTGTTGCTATTATTCTTGATAAACCATACCATAACATGTGAAATAAATAAAAAGTAAGAATTATGTATATGAGTATAATTTAAAAATATCCTATAGATTTAAGGAAGACAATCTTAGCAACATCAATTTTTATGAAAAACGTTTTCATGCAAAATAACTATTGATAAAACAAGAATGGAAGTCATTTAAGGGTTAATTCATATTATAACAATTCTTCATGATATAATAAGACTAAGTATTTTTTTAAAATGAGAGAACTAACCAAAATCGGGGAAAACATTTCTAACAACCTTTAATTGTATATCAGTTTCTATGTTTATTTTCTAAGTTTGATTTGGATTTGAATTTGAAAGAACTAAATTCTGTATTACAGAATTATGTGTCGAAATACAATTGTTACATAGATTTTACATAACATAGTTGAACTGATATTTTTTTTAAAAATTGTATAGTTGACAGAAGGACCTTTTAAAGAAATATCACAGTACTGTCAATATATATCACGATATTCATTATTATTTTTGGTTGAATATATATATATATATATATATATATATATATATATATATTTATAGTTAACATATTAAGGCGAATTTTAAATGTAAATACAAACCTAGCTCAAGAATGATGAAAAGAGTTAGAATGATGAGTGATAGTTGAAATAGGTTCTTCATCGTAGGTGTTATGAATGAATTGATGGTGTTTTCAAAGTGAAAACAAATTACAAAGTATACTCCTATATATACTTTTTCTAGAAGTTCAATGTACCTCACATTCAAACTTATCTATCTAACTTAAGAAATCTATCTCCTTAAATTCCGGTTTAACACAATTTGTTTTTTCTCATTCTATATATGAAAGCTTTAGACTCGTTCGTTGTTAGTCTTTATTGTAAGTTTGTAACATATTTTCCTATTTAAATGGAAACATTGAAATTCCACAAAGAAGAAAAAAAACAAATATTGCCACACATTCATGCAATATCAAATCTCATATGTTAAATTTTCATAGATCATAAATCTCTTCTATGTCTTTATATTAATAAATATTAGAAATGCTATTTCATTGTTGAATATTGTTGATATAGTTCAATCTAGATTTCATTTTAGTTTTGATTAAGGTTTTTTCTTTATAAATACTTGAATAGTAGGGAAAATCAGTTTATTTCAACTTGTATAATTTTATTATGTAATTTTTACACACAAACTTTGATATCGTATTAATTTGAACATGAAAAAGTTTTATTTTTTCAAATAATGTACATGAATAGCCGTGAGTAGGGTCAGCCCTGGGCACAACCTAGTGAAACAATTGTCTTGGTCCCAAAATTTTTTCTGAAATTCACTATCCAAAAAATTGGCCCAAAATTAATTTGTAATTATATTAGTTGGCCCAAATTTTCTAAAGCTTTTAACATAAACTGATTTTTTGTTTTAAAAGCTTTGGCCCAACATTCTTAAGGGTCGGTCCTGACCGTGAGTCGAAATCAACATTGAATGAAACGGTGTTGTCAACTTGTAGTTTATGCAGAATCAGATGCCACATGTCCACAGTGTTAACGAAATTTGACTTTATATAACTAAAACGATGTCATTTTGAGTATACGAAATCAAAACTATTGTTTTAGATTTTTTTTTTTTTGTTTACTAGTTAAGAAAAATCAAGTCTCTGTCTCACTATACTCTGAGTTAGAAACAAGTTACACAGGCCCTAATATATAAGTTTGATTAATAAAAGACGATATTAGTTTTTACAATAGACTACTATAAAGTATAAATTGGTGAAGATAGTGTTTTACTTCTTTTTTTTTTTAGTTTTCCACTTGTACATAATTTTATTTGTTGAGTAATAAATTCCAAATTTTAATAATTAAAAAAAAAACCATTTCATTCCAATTTAATAAGATTTTGATTGGATTAGATTGAGATTTCTTCCAAATGTCAAATATTCTTTCCCCATAAGACTGACTCGTGGCCCACAGACAATGACTTAGAGTTATGTCTGAAACTCAAACTTAGAGATGTGCGTGAAAGAGGCGCAACTATAAGACAAACTGAAATGAAACTCTTCGTCACATCTCCCTCAAACTTATTTCTCTCTTTAATTGGTTAAATCACCACACCCACTTCGTGTTTTCTGGGTTTCTCAAAATTGGTGTCACTGCTGATTCCAATTTATATTAAAAAAATATGGATTTGGAGTTTGCAGTTAATGGAGAAAGATTCAAGATTGATTCTGTTGATCCATCAACCACTTTACTCGAGTTCTTGCGATTAAACACTCCTTTCAAGAGTGTCAAGCTCGGCTGTGGCGAAGGCAAAATCTCTCTCTTCTCTTTTTAATCTCTTAGTGAAACTTTATTGTTCACTAACTGTTATAAATGTGGGACCTTTATGTCCAGAAACAATCTATATGTGTTGTTGAAAGTCTTGTGTTATGTTTTTTTTAACTCTTTACCAGAATTAGTGAAGTTGACTCAGTTTTTAGAATCCAAATCTGAAAATGTGCGTCTCTGGTTAGTGCAGGAGGGTGTGGTGCTTGTCTTGTAGTGTTGTCAAGATATGATCCAGAGTTAGATCAAGTGAAGGAATGTAGTATAAACTCTTGTCTCACTCTTCTCTGTTGTGTAAATGGATGTTCAATTACTACATCTGAAGGTCTTGGTAATACAAAGAAAGGATTTCATCCGATACATAAGCGATTCGCGGGTTTTCACGCCTCTCAATGCGGTTTTTGTACACCAGGGATGTGTATTTCTTTATACTCAGCTCTTGCAAATGCTGATAATAACAGTTCAAAAGAGTTTACGGTTTCCGAAGCTGAGAAATCTGTTTCGGGTAATCTTTGTCGATGTACTGGTTATCGTCCCATTGTCGATGCTTGTAAGAGTTTTGCTTCTGATGTTGATATTGAGGACTTGGGGTTTAATTCCTTTTGGAAAAAAGGAGAAAGTAAAGAGGTTATGTTGAAGAATTTGCCTCCTTATAATCCCAAAGACCATCTTGTAACATTCCCTGAGTTCTTGAAGAAGAAGAAGAAGAAGAAAGAGATAAAGAAGGTTGATAATGGTTTGGATCATTCGAGGTATCGTTGGACCACTCCTTTTAGCGTAGCTGAGCTTCATAACATAATGGATGCTGCTAACTCTGGAGACTCGTTGAAGTTCGTTGTGGGAAACACGGGTACAGGTTACTACAAAGACGAGGTACGGTTTGATAGGTATATTGATATCAGTCACATTCCGGAGATGTCAATGATCAAGAAAGATGAGAAAGGAATTGAAATTGGAGCAGCTGTTACCATATCAAATGCTATTGATGCTTTGGAAGACGAAAGCAAATCTTCTTATATTTTCAAGAAAATGGCGGCTCATATGGAGAGAATTGGCAACCGTTCTATCAGGAACTCGGGGAGTATAGGCGGTAATCTAGTGATGGCACAGAGCAGAAAGTTTCCTTCTGATATTACCACGTTGTTGCTCGCTGCAGATGCATCAGTGTATATGTTAAATGGTAGGAAAACCGAGAAGGTTACGCTACAAGAGTTTCTTGAATTGTCTCCGATATTAGACTCCATACGCGTTCTTTTAAAGGTTGAGATTCCATCATGGACTTCTCCTTCTGGTGATGACACTAAATTTCTCTTTGAAAGCTATCGAGCCGCACCTCGTTCTATTGGAAATGCATTGCCTTACTTGAACGCTGCTTTCTTGGCTATAGTGTCTCGCCAAGAACCATCAAGAAAAGGTGTAACGGTAGATAGATGCTTGTTGGCATTTGGTTCTTGTGGCGGTGATCATTCAATCAGGGCAACAGAAGTGGAGAATTTCCTCACAGGTAAATCACTTAGCTACAGTGTTCTATATGAAGCTGTTGGTTTACTTAGAGGAATCATAGTTCCCGGCAAAGACACCTCGCACTCGGAATATAGAAAAAGCTTGGCTGTTGGATTTCTTTTCGATTTTTTCTGTCCACTGATCGAGAATGGCCATAGGAACAGCCATGTCGATACCGCAAAATCTCTACCCTTCCTCTCATCTTCACAACAAGTGTTAGAGAGCAATGAGTTTCAACCTGTTGGTGAAGCAATTATCAAAGTTGGAGCTGCATTACAAGCTTCTGGTTAGCTCTTATGCCTTCTGTTTTCATCATTTTTTAGTAACTTGATATTGGTTCAAGCTAAGGGTAAATATTCAATACAGGTGAGGCGGTTTTTGTTGATGATATACCGACTTTACCGGACTGTTTACATGGAGCATTCATTTATAGCACAGAGCCTTTAGCTAAGATAAAAAGCATAGGCTTCAGAGAGAATGTGAATCCTACTGGAGTTTTTGCAGTTCTTACTTTCAAGGATATTCCACAACAAGGACAAAACATTGGTTCCAAGACCCTTTTGGGACCAGGACCTTTATTTGCAGATGAACTAACTCGATGTGCTGGTCAAAGAATTGCTCTTGTGGTAACTCCAATTTCCTCTTCTTTTTTAATTCTTGCTCGTCTTTCGTTGTGTAACTAATCGAAAAATATACGGCTTTTGCAGGTTGCAGACACACAGAAACATGCAGACAGGGCAGCAAAACTTGCAGTAGTTCAGTATGATACAACGAATTTAGAACAACCGATATTAACTGTCGAAGATGCAGTGAAAAGATCTAGCTTTTTCGAGGTTCATCCGATGTTTTACCCCGAACCAGTCGGTGATGTTGTAAAAGGAATGGAAGAAGCTGAGCGAAAGATAATCTCGGCCGAGGTATCACCACTGTTTTCCGATTTTCACCGCCAAAGTTAGTATAATGACATCTTATTTTGTGTGTTTGAAACTTGGTAATATATCCAGTTGAGGCTGGGGTCACAGTACTTCTTCTATATGGAGCCACAAACAGCACTTGCGTTGCCAGATGAAGACAACTGTGTGAAGGTATTTAGTTCATCTCAAGCACCTGAGTACGTGCATTCGGTTATCGCTACATGTCTCGGCATTCAAGAGCATAACGTTCGAGTCATTACCAGAAGAGTTGGAGGTGGCTTTGGTGGTAAAGCTGTTAAGTCAATGCCTGTAAGTATTTACCATAATTGGTTTCTTTACTGGTTTCTACTATGAATCAAGATCGTGAATGCTCATCGAAATTGATGTTTCAGGTTGCAACAGCATGTGCACTGGGCGCATACAAATTGCAACGTCCTGTTAAGATGTATCTGAACCGCAAGACCGATATGATAATGGCTGGAGGAAGGCATCCAATGAAAATAACTTACAATGTTGGTTTTAGATCAGATGGGAAGCTCACAGCACTGGAGCTTACAATGCTAATAGATGCAGGGCTTGAGCCGGACGTAAGTCCAATCATGCCGCGGAATATAATGGGTCCGTTAAGGAAGTATGATTGGGGAGCTTTGTCATTTGACGTAAAAGTGTGCAAGACGAATTGTCCTAGTAGAACGGCGATGAGAGCTCCCGGGGAAGTACAAGGTTCTTACATTGCAGAATCTATTATCGAGAATGTAGCCTCTTCTCTTCAAATGGATGTTGATGCGGTGAGAAAGATAAATCTTCATACTTATGACAGCCTCAGAAAATTCTACAAGCACATTTCTGGTGATCTTGATGAATATACACTGCCTTTATTATGGGACAAGTTGGAGATATCTTCGAAATTCAAAGAAAGAGTTGAGATGGTGAAGGAGTTTAATCTTTCTAACGTATGGCGAAAGAGAGGGATTTCTCGAGTACCTATTGTCCATCAAGTTATGCAGAGGCCAACCCCGGGGAAAGTGAGCATTTTAAGTGATGGTTCTGTTGTGGTTGAGGTTGGAGGAATTGAGATAGGGCAAGGATTGTGGACCAAAGTACAACAGATGGTTGCTTATGGTCTCGGTATGGTTAAATGCGAAGGAAGCGAAAAGCTCTTGGAGAGAATACGGGTTGTTCAGTCCGACACACTCGGTATGATCCAAGGAGGTTTTACTGCTGGTAGTACGACATCCGAGAGCAGTTGTGAAGCCGTTAGGCTTTGCTGTGTTATCTTGGTGGAGAGATTGAAACCTACAATGGATCAGATGTTAATGGAGAAGCCGGGTTCCGTGACATGGAACATGCTCATTCAACAGGTATGTAGCCTAGTAAATTCAGATAGTTACTCTATAACAAACATTCTGCTTGAATTTTTTTTTTTTTTGGTAAAATCATTCTGCTTGAATTACTGTAACGTTTGCATTTTTCTCACATCAGGCGTATGCTCAGTATATTAATTTATCAGCGAGTACATTGTATATGCCAGAGTATTCTACCATGGAATACCTCAACTATGGGGTTGGAGTGAGCGAGGCAAGTCACTATGGCAAATCATTCATTTTAAAAAATTTGAATCAATCAAACAATAATGTGATTCTACTTGCAGGTGGAAGTGGACCTTTTGACAGGAAAAACCGAGATTTTAAGATCCGATATCATTTACGACTGCGGAAAAAGTCTTAATCCTGCAGTTGATTTAGGACAGGTTAGCATTTAGTTAACTCCACATGTTTTTCTTGTTTTCTTTTAGTCATATTATTGAGCTAAGCAAAAACATGAATGGTTTTTGAAAAGACCGAAGGAGCGTTTGTTCAAGGCATCGGGTTTTTCATGATGGAAGAGTACACTACTGATGAGAAGGGGCTTGTGGTGCAACAAGGCACATGGGACTACAAAATTCCTACTGTGGATACAATCCCCAAACACTTCAACGTCGAGATTGTCAACACTGGTCATCACAAAAACCGCGTTCTCTCCTCCAAAGGTACACTAAGCTTTTCCTTATCCGATTTGAGCTATAACTATTATCGCGATTTTCATTTCGAATTGTTATGTTTCTATCAAAACTATCACTTGTTGTTCACATACAGAATTACATAAAAACTCTTAGAGACAGGTATTTGCTATAACTTATAATGTTGAAGTGTTATCTTTAATGTTACTCCATATAGTATTTGTGGGTCACTACTTTCACACTCACCAACTCCTTCATTTGATCCACAGCATCGGGTGAGCCGCCATTGCTTTTAGCGGCTTCTGTTCATTGTGCAACGAGATCAGCCATTAGGGAAGCTCGGAAACAGTCCATTTCATCGAACATCAATGATGGGTCTGATTCGGAATTTGAGTTACCGGTTCCAGCAACTATGCCTGTGGTGAAGACTCTTTGCGGATTGTATAGTGTAGAGAAATACTTACAAGGAAAGATCAAAGGACGATAAAGGCAAAGCAAGTAAGCAACTCTCGTTGCTGCTAATTTACAGTGTTACATATACTAAAGTTATTCAGATTTTATATACAGCAAAAAGTAATTGTTTAAGTGCAGCTTTGTGCATAACTTATGGTTTCAAAACCAAATCAATAAATCAAATATTGAATGTTACTGATTTTAATCTCAGTTTATGCTGTTGTTTGGTAGTTGGAATAGAGTTATCCTGATTCTTGTTAAATTGCAAATCATGGCCCATAGGCCAAATTACAGAGATACTCGCTTTAATTTACAAAAATAATTATCTTAATTTAAACAATAGGAATTATTTTTATATATCAAAAACCAATAAAAATAAAATGATAATATTCTATTTAATATTTTTTTTTCTTTCCACCGTTGGTTTTTTCAATAGCTATTTTATTAATTAATTTAAAAGTGTTTCTTTATACAAACTATGGACGGGTTTAATTTTTTAAAATTAAAATTAAATTTAACAAAAAAGTAATTAACAACGTTGTAAATAGAAATTTTCTTTTATAAGTAAAAATAATATTTACTTTTTCACTGTTGCATTGTTTCTTTAACCACTAAAATTATTAATTCAAAATTATTTCGAATAAAAGATATATCACATAGCAATAACTCATAGTAAAAGATATATATGAAGAACAAAAATTAAAAATATTCATCAAAAAATTGGTGAATGAAACCAAAGTGGTATTTAATTAGACATGTTAAAAATAGAAAGATGATAAATCGACTAAATTCCTTAGCCTTCCAAGCTAACGTTGCGGGTTCGATTCCTATATACTATATTGCAATGACTTTATGATCAATCAATAAAAATCTTCAAAAAATTATAAGAACGATGATATATGAATCTTATATAATTCAAATATGAACATAGAAATTTAAATAAACAATTTTGAAATAGTATAATTAAATTCAAAATATCAAAAACAAAGAAGAAGCATATATGGTTCTTACATATTCAAGAATTTCAAATAAAAGAATATAAAACTTTAGTTAAAATCATCACATATTGCTAATTAGAAAATAAAATTGATATAAATAATGTAAATTTGTAATTTAAATCATGACACATGTCGCTATTTAAAATCATTAGAACTATGATATATTCTAAAGCTTATATAATTTAAACTGAACATAGAAACCAAAATGAATAATTTAAAGATACAACAGTTAAACTAAAAATAAAAAATTATGAACACGATGACATATGAATCTTCGATAATTTAAATATGAAAAAAGAAATTGAAATAAACAATCTAACAATACTACAATCATAATTAAGGACTTTAACAGTTAAGTAAAAAAATATTACAAAAAGGAAACAAAATTGATCTCTCATATTTCTAATTGAAAAAATAAAACTCAAATAAATAATATGAGGATTAGTTTTATTATATCATCACATAGATTGGAAAGGAAATTGAGATAAATAATATCAAATTTTAAATTAAATCATGACACACGATAAAAATTTTGACTGATAACGGTTCATGATACTATTAGTTACTAACTTTGAGAACATATGTTTCCTTTTTAATAATTTTGCCTGATTTTTTTCTTGTTTAATTGAAATATATATTTTTAATTATAAAAAACATATAATTTCCTTTTTATTATCTTTTGACATTTTTTAAATTGTTTATAGAAATATTGATTATTTACATTATCCTTAATATTATATTTTATATTTTTAAAATTATTTAAATTTATAATTACTTTCAATTATCTTTTTTTTTTTTTGAAAAACATTTGTTTTACACGTGTCAAAATCTAAGATCGATAGATTTGCCACGTGTCATGATCCTATGAGTTATTAATTTTGAAAACCATACTTTATATAATAAAAAGTGAAAAGAATTATATATTGAAAAAGAGGAACAAGAGAAGCAAAAAGGTAATTCTTAAATATATATATATATATATATATAATTATATATAGGGTTCTATATATTATAATCGTTTGACTAATTTGAGTTTTCTGTTTTTGAATAATCTTTTTAACCATGCAAGAATTCTTCAGAAACAAAAGTTTGACGTGTTTGTTTGTCAAATCTAACCGATTATGATGACAATTATATTAAAGATGACAGCTCACTGGTTTTTTTTTTTTGTAATTGTCCGTATTATTTTCGAGTATCTTTTTATCATCAATAAGACGACAAGTATGAAGGAGTAGATTTAAATATTATGAAAATTCTATTGTTATTCAATTTAAGATTTTTCAACACTATATTAAAGTTTGATGTTATTTGTTTATGTATTTGTAAATACTGTAGTAATCTAAATTTCATAAATTTAGAGTTATTGGAGACCATGATTTTATATTATTTAAGCTCTAAAAACTATAAAAATGTCATAGCTTCGAAAACTGTCCACAAAATTTTAAAATACTAATCACGAAAAGCCATCTCCGTAATTAGCAATTTTAGATTCCAATAATTTCCTATGTTAAGATACTTATTAAAAGAAAATAATAATATATATAGAAACAAGAAAAATATAAACTTAAAAAAAACATATGGGAAAAAATGAAAATTTTGTTATTAGAATATATAAAATATTATCAATATAAAATTAAGATACTTATAAAAAAGTAAAAAGAAAAACAATATCTATGGAAACGAGAAAAATGTAAACTTAAAGAAAAAACATATGCAAAAAAGAAAAATGTAAAATTTTAGTTATTAAAATATATAAAATAATATCATTATTAGTCTCACCAAGTTTGTCAATGTCCCTTCTTAATCACAATTAGAGGTCAGCATTTTAGTTTGAAGTCGTGTTAAATTTGTTTTGGTTATTTTGATTTTAATAAAACATCAAGTCTCTAATCAAACTCATTTTGGTTCATTTAATTCGATTTGAATTAATTTGGTTGGCTTGATTTGGTTTGTTATTTAAAATAAATTATATATAAAATTGAAAGAATGACAATAAATTGAAGCAACAAAAATAGAAATTTTATAATTGGGATAAATAAATGAAAATTTTTAATAGAATAATCGATCAAGAGGTATGTGAAAAAAAATAAAAATAAAAAGGTATACAATATATACATATAACATGTGTAAGTTTATTCATTTGTTTTTTTGTATTTAAATGTTGATTGGTAATTTTTCATGCTTCAAGTTTGATGTTCGGATATTAGACCATTTTAATTATTAAAATTTTGAAGTCATTTTTATATAATTGAGTACCATATGACACATCATATTTGTAATATGTTTTATACCAAGTTTTATCCTTAAGCTTTTCTTTTATTAAAAAAAATTTTTAAGCAACATAAATGATACTAAAAATATGAATAAAACAAACATTTATGCTAAAAAAGAATTTTAAAAATGAAACATTATTGTAATTAATTGATTACTAAGCCCAAAAATATTCAATAAAAGTAAACCCCCGCGTAGCGGGGATTATAACCTAGTACAAACAAAATATTATTCAGAAAACTTTTTCATAGAAAACTTGTTTTGTTTAACAAAATTTATTTTTCGATTAGTAAGTTGTATTTCAATTAAAAAAAAACTGAAAATATTTTAGTGTATAAACTATCAAAAAAATTATTAGTGAAATATAAATTAAGGATATTATTAGTGAAATTCTGGTTTTAAAAAAAATTATAATCCTAATCGACGACAAAACTTTTTTTTTTATTGATACAATTTCTATTTTATCATTTGTCATGTTGTTTAGGTAGGTGAGTTTAAGTACATAATATAATAATTTGCTTTGGTTATATATATGTTGATGCTATGAATATGATCAAGTGGCAATGTTTCAATTTCAAAGTCATATACAGGAACATGAAGTTGATTGCACAACATGAACATGAATCTCTATGTTTTGATATCTTATTCTAGAACACAAAGTTATACCTGAAAACGAATGTTGGAGAAGAACTGCCAGACTTCAGTGGTTATGAACACATCTTCCGGGTGTAAGATAGAGATAGAAAACTGAGGTGTTTATTTAAAGAAATCTATGATGATGATGAACAATTAGCTAGGAATGAGGATATTGTATACATCTTGGATCATCCCAAAAATGATCATAGATCACAGTCTCAACAAGTTTATGGCTTCTCCGGAGTACCACCATCCGTATTTATGCGATTCAGAATGGGAAACCAAATGAAGATGGGAGTTTTGGTTGAATTTGTAGAGTCAAGGGTTAACGTTGAGGAACATGGTCATGCTAGAATAGCAGTGGACGAAATACACAAAATGGCTATGGCAGACATCCGATTTGCTAACATGGATAGAAACGCTTGCTAACATGGATAGAAACGCTAATATATCACAAACGGTTATTCTCCATTAATCCTAATCGACAACAAAACTTTTTTTTTTCATTGATTCAATTTGTATTTTTCTTTTGTCATGTTGCTTAGGTATGGGAGTTTAATTACATAATAGAATACTTTGATTTGATCACATATATGTAATCATGAAAGTATCCAAATTTGAAAAGGTTCGTAATCTCGTAGATAGTTAGCGATTTTATTTAGTTGTTTATAGATCGATAATGGATGATTAAACAATATAATAATTGATCGCTTGGATTATGATTGTTATATTTGTTATAAAGTAAGGTAAAAGCAACGGTAGTGGAACTTGTTTTAGGTTTTGAAGTGTTAAAATAACTTTTTTATCCGTACTTTTTTGGTAAATATGTAAAAACCAAATTAGATTTAACAAATGAACTGAATTCAAAAAAGCATAAGATATCCAAAAACGTTGGACCGGCTCTGCACGAGATGTGTTATTCCAATGTTTAACAAGACTATAACATTTGGCGGCCGTTGTTGGATAAAGTGGTTACATGATAATGATAAAGGTATTGCCAATAAAAAAAAATTGCGCTCCGTCAATTACATAGATTATTATATCCTGATAATGATCTCGAGTTTCTTCGAAGTTGTGGATGGGAACCTAATGTCAGTTGATCCTGAGGAAAAAGCTGTGAATGAGATACACAAACTTGTTATCACAAACACAAGCTTCAGAAACATCAATCAGAACATTAATAATCTTATGGTCTGAGAAGGCGAAAACATGTCGCTTCAGCTTGTGCCAATAGATCACGAGATGTACTTTGGCAATGAGGTACAACCATATAACATTTGTAGTCCTTGTTGGTTAAGTTGGTTAAAGGATGAATGGAAACACAATCAAACTTTCTCTTCGAAGTCTGTGAATTATGTGGCAAGTCTAGACACTGATAAAGATCTTGATTTTGTTCGGAGATGTGGATGGAAACCTGGGCTGGGTTTTAGTGAAAATTTCAAGGTTTTTGAAATTTTTTTAAGAGGCCTAGACATGCTTTAGTGTTGTTTGATTATATTTAAATTTGCATTAGTTCTTGTTAGAGTTTGTTTCTAATATTTTTATTGCAACTAAATGTTTTGGTGTTGTCTTCAAAACATGATAATTGATGTTTTTATGTGTAGTTTGTTCTTGAAAAATATTTATTTTAACTACAAATATTATTTTTAATTAGAAAATTTAAATATTTTACGAAATTAAGCAAATTTTTCTCACATCGATAAATTAATATAATTATTACTTAATAAAATATCTCATTCCAATATTATTAATTTTTAGAGGTTTTGTGTACTTTTATCCAAGTGTACTACCACTTGCACATAGATTCTCCATTTTGGTATTTATATAAATTTAAATACGGCATATGAATTATGTTATGATCAACTATGCACTATTGTTGACGTTTGTAGTTGTCTTTGATAAAAATATGTGTACACCTCTTTAATACTCTAATATGTCGCTTTAACTTTACCAGCTAATACTGTAATTGTTATAAAAATACATTAGGCTACTCAAATGAAAACAACCAACAAAAAAATAAATGACAAGAGTTACCTGCCGGCGAACACTAAAAAATATTTGATAATGCGCGTCATAATCAACAAGAATGAGTTGTGAAATCTCTTCTAGAACTTTATGAAGAGTAAGTGGAAGTTTGGAGGCACACATGCGTCGTGAATTTTGTTATATGTTTGTTGTCTATGGACTTTCACAAACTCTACATACAAAAGAATAAACGAAGTAAGTGAAGTAAAATGCTTAATCTCGTAATTAATAGTATCTTCTAACCAGCAGAATTCATATTCGCGCACACATATGACTTGGGTATGCATGCAGCCACTATTTCAGTGGATTGGTTTTATATATGTCAGACATATTTTCATATATAATACAAGTGGACTATAAACTTTTTGTAGTTTGAAATCTGTTTTATAAGATGACAGTAAACAGAGCAAGGCCGAGGGAGAAACCATGAGGAAGGCGAGAGATTCAAGATTTTTGGCAGTATGAAGAATCCCCCCAGGATATGAATCACCGATCAGTCTATGCATGAGTTTCTTCTCTCCTACTCGCTCAATCTTAAAAAGTCTACCCTTGAATGATTCTAGTGGTGGAAGATCGATCCTCTCCTCGCTAAAGACATCTATAATATAGAGTTTCAATTGAGAATCTACCACCAGAAACCACTTACCGGAGCTTCCAAGGAATCGATACCCTGAAAGGTCACTCTTCGTCTCGTAAACCCTATCATCGTCTGGGTTGTACACACTATTACTAAGACAACCATCCTTTTCTACAGACAGCATCATCAATGGAGATCCGGGTTTTGGCCGCTGAATCAAAGTCGAACGCAGAGCCTTAGCAGACGCAAGCGTAGTAGATCTCTTCATTTTCAGGACGGAGATTATCTCGTTTGTTGACAAAAATTTAGAAAGCGTTATATATAAGTCCCAAGCCCAATAACAGCGGTAGAAAAATATTCTAACGGGTCTATGGCCCAATAACACATCATCATGGATCATTTGGTTATCATTTTTATGAAACCTTTAGCTTCTGAAACTGATTCAAAACTTAGATTTTGATAAATGTCTATGTATATTTTTATAAAGATTTTAAATACTGAAAAGAAGAAGAGGGATTGGTTATTCAAGATTCTCTTGATATTTTCACGTTGAATTTTGCAAAAGATACTCTCATTGTACAAGCTTCATTGGTGCATTGGCATATCTCAGATCAGTGATAGTGTTGATGGGTTCTCAAGAAGGTATATGAAGTTAGGAAGAAGATATGGAATTCTTATGAATTGAAAGGAAACTGTTCTTACCAAAAAACACATGCTACTGTGTTTCAGCATTACGTTCAGTTGTGTTTGATTGACTCAAAGTAGACAGTTTGCGACGTTCGTTTCATGACTGCATAGTGTTTAGTGTGACAATCGGTTTTGTTTCCACATTACTACTTTTATTCTCTGCGTTTTTTTTTTCCTGCACGGTTTAAAGAATTGCTATTATTATTATTATCAACTAGTTGAATAAGAAAGAAGAACTGATGATGTGTATACGGCCGGTCAATGAACTCCTCATTGTGTGTATAGTTACGCCACTTAATTAGCTTTTTGGCAATTATGCACTCGATAGGTAGTGACCTTTACATGTGCACTAAAACATTTTTTTTTTTTTGCTAAATGAGTAAATATCATATAGAATGAAAATAGTTTAGGATTTACATTTTGGGTTACCTAAAGCCTTAGTTCCTTGGCAAAAAAGAAATAAAAAACAAGGAAGTAAACTTTTATTTCACAGAGCAGAGCAATTAGCGGAGCCAGAAGCCCATGAAATTGCGAAACTTACTACGATGCCTCTTCGCATTAATTGAATTTATGATTTCACGGTCAATAATGACTTTGAAAATGGCAGCCGGTGGTATCACTTGAGAATTATGGAGAATATTGTTTCTTTGCTTCCACGTAGAGTAGATGATGGCTTGAGTCATGAGCTTTCTGAGAGTAGACGGAGACGTATGATTTCTACCTCTAGACTCTAGTCCAACACATTAAATCTTCCCAGTTCTGGAACGGTGAGGGAGACTGCCTTAATCCCATGAGAGAAGCCTAAACTGAAACATAATCAAAGTCAGAACGTTAACAAAGCTAAACTAGCTATAACAAATAAGTCGGTTTACCAAAACTAAACTGACATCCCAACAACATCGTTGTAATCCATAACACTCTAACATCAAATGCCTTAATAGTTACACTTATGTCGGACACTAAGTTTATGTTATCATCAACGTACAAGTGAACTATGAACTTTTTATAATTCGGAATTTATTTATAAGATGACAGTAAACAGAGCAAGGCCGAGGGAGAAACCATGAGGAAGGCAAGAATCAAGAGGAAGAAACCACTGAGCATCCTTGACGTTTAAGTTGGAGAGAGTAAGGAAGCGTTTGATGGTCTTTGTTGTAAGATTGAAGACACAGATGTCGGGGCGTGAAGGATTCCTGTGACGGATACGATCACCATGGGTGAAATAGATGGAGTTAGGCTCAATACCACGGGTATGGTCAGCAGGCCCGGTGGTTCCCAAATCGAGAAAGAGGGCCTCATCACCTAGAGAATGTACCTCAAGAAGCTGGGTTAAGTAGGTCTTAGGGTCAAGATCTTTAGGATCTCTCTTGTACACGTGGAACATCCTATGCACTTCAGAGTTACCTAACTCGTAAGAACAGACAACCAAAACCTGACCTGATCTTGTAACAGCAATGCTTTCACTAGATGAGCTGATCTTATCTATGTCGACTCTTACTTGTTCATCCACACTCAGACTTGGCATCCACATTGGAAGCTTATGGTTCTCGGACACATCCTTGATACCATCTTCACCATGTCCAGACAAATCCAAGTGTCGAATGAAGTCACGGATGGCAAGAACGTAAAGACTGTAACCTTTAAGTACCATATCTTTTACACCGCGTAACTCCCTGCGAACACCGGTCCTTGTTAAGATCTCGCGGTAATGATCATCCCCTTTCTTGCAAAACCCTAGAAAGTCGTTCATTTCAAAATGCCACACAACAACGTAGTCTTCCTTGTTGTCGCCTACCCACAAACGACCTCTCAGATCTTCGGCAGTATGAGGATCCCCACGAGATAAATCACTGTATAATATATTCCTGACTTTATTCTCTCCTACTCGCTCAATCTTATAAAGGCTACCTTTCAATGATTCTAGTGGTGGAAGATCGATCCTCTCCTCGCTAAAGACATCTACAATATAGAGTTTCAATTGAGAATCTACCACCAGAAACCACTTACCCGAGCTTCCCAGGAGTCGATACCCTGAAAGGTCACTCTTCGTCTCGTAAACCACCCTTTCATCGGCTGGGTTGCACAGACGATAACCATCTTTTTCTGTAGACAGTATCAGCAAAGGAGATCCGGCTTTTGGCTGTGGAATCAACGTCGAACGCAGGGCCTTCGCAGGCTCAAGATCCGGACTACTCAATTGTCGTTTGAGCGTAGATCTCTCCATTATCAGGACGGAGACTATCTCGTCTTTTGAGTTTTGATAAGATTGAGAAAGCGTTCTGTTGCTCATATATGTACCAAACCCAATAACAGCAAGAAAATTATATTAACGGGTCTATGGTCCAGTATAACATCATCATGGATCAATTGGTTACCAAAATTTCATTTTTAGTCTTAAGGTTTTAGCTAAAAACCGTAAAGATTAAATAAGATTTACAGTTTCAAATTTTTTTTAGCGAAAGATTAATTTATTTTATGATATAAAGCAATATGATATTTATTCTATATTTTCTTGAAACATATAGCATATTTTCTATAATTTATTTCTATGTTTTCTTTGTTGTAATAATAATAATTCACATGACATTGTTATTTTATTATCTCATTTAGTTAAAACAGATTATTTTTTCTTGGGTTTGCAAATAGTGTTTATTTACATATTGATGTACTAGATCATCACCCGTACTACAGTACGGGTTGAATTTCATTTATTACAAAATTTATATATTATATAGTTATAGAATAAAATCGTGATATATTATAATAGTAAGTAAAAAAATATTAATTTTTTTTATGTCAGTCCATATATATAATATTAGAATGAATATATTTTTATTTTTCTGTAATCCTCAATTATGGATATATTTTTTAAAGATATGAGAACGGAAATTATTATTATTTAAAATAATAATAATATTGTTTGAACAATGAGTTAATTAATGTTAACAACTACAAAATGAGAGTGCATATAATTTAGTTAGATCAAAAATCAAAATATCATAAATGAATCGCATCTAAAACGTAGATTATTTTGAATTAGTTAGTTAGCTATTATTTTGAATTAATTTAGGAAATTATTTTTTCAAATTCTAATTCATTGGTTGTTGAAATAGAGATTTGTTTGAGCTAATTACGGAATTTACCAATTATTCACATAATCGAATATGTTGAACATATATTTGGTATATAATAAAACCAAATTCGATCCGTGTGTGGAGTCTATATTTTCATTTTACAATCCCTATGAAAATATTGTGGCACAATCTATTATTCATTATTTCCAAAATTGCTTGCAGAATTAAATTTTCAAATATTTAGAAGTGTTAAACTTTATTTAACTCATCTCATCATAAAATCTTAAAATTTCGTCTATTATAAAGATCATAACTTTCTATCATATAATACATTACTTTTAGCCCGCCGCCTACTATAAATATATTAAACATATCTTTTAAGAAAATCAAATTAGTATTTATAATTTTTTTATCTTTTTAATCTATTAAATATTTATGATATTCTTTAATATATTAAATTAAACTTTTTTTAAATGTTCCAAATTAAAATCTTTAAAATTTTTATTGTAGTATGTAAAATTATAAATTTAAAAAAAAAAATATATATATATATATATATATATATATGAAATTAAATATAAATATTCAAATAGTTATAAGGATCATAACTCATTTCATCATATAATACATTATATTTAACCCGCCGCCTATTATAAATATTTGTTTCAAAAAATCAAATTAAAGTATTTATATTTTTTAACTTTTTGATCTATTAAGTATTGATGATATTAAAAAGAGAAATATATTACTCAAATATGAATTTTTGACCCGTTAAATTTGTTTTTTCATACATTGAACAATTTATTTTCGTTTTTAAAAATTCAAATCTTTGTATATGCGGAAAAAATTTACTTTTTTTTTTATTATGTAGATGATATAATAATTTATTTATTTTATAGAAATAGAATAATATAAAGATGAGAGGTGAAGTATAATGATTAATAACAAATTAATGTGATAAGTTAGATATCAAATCTTATATGTTCATTTTGATTGGTCATTCTTTTTAAAAAAATTAATAATAGATTTTCGTTTTTATAATTAAATTAAATTAATTAAATTGCATAAAATAGTATTTGACTTGTTTATCCTTAATGAGTTGAATTAATTTACTCTATAAAATTTTATTTCTAATGGCATTTTTAAGTAAATTCTTACAAAAGAAAAGGTTAGTTAAGGGTATCTTATAAAGTGTACTCCCCAAATAATAGTATAGGATATGGACATAAACTAAATATACGTTAGATATTGTAGTATGTTTTGTTATGTTTTTTAAAAAACTTTTAGTGAAATAAAGCAAAATCTAGAAAAAAAATAACTTAAATGAAATATTTTGGTCAATTTTCAAGTGAATATATAAGTGGGCTTTCATGAGTCCAGCCGTTAGAATATTTATACTCGGCCATTAAACATCATTTAAACCATTATAAGTTATAAAATTATTTTAAAACATACAAAACACATATTTTCTTATAAATAGTAAGACACACATTCCACTATCCGTACTAGATAAGTTTGTAAACTCTATAACAATTTTTGTATACAACTAATGGAGTTCTAACTTTTGTTTCTTATTCAACTTTGTAGGTGTGGACTATAAATTTAAGTTACACGCAATCTAGTTATGCATTCATAAGAAGTGTATTCGATTCATATAATGGTAAGATATGATATATATTTTTACAATTTTTAACCTTTAAGTTCCTTTTTCTCTAATATTTTAGGTTTTATATAATTTCTCTATACTTTTTGCATACATTTCTATACTATTTGCTATATGTATTTGTCTTGTATTTTGATCTTGAGAGTTTTAGTCCACGAATAATATAAATACTTGAGTGCGTGAATCCGACATCCAAAAGGGGCGGGTGAATTCGTGGTTATTCGAGATTTTCTTGATATTTTCAAGTTGAATTTTGCAAAAGATCATACTCATTTGTACAAGCTTCATTGGTGGCATTGGCATATCTCAGATCAGTGATAGTGTTGATGGGTTCTCAAGAAGATAAATGAGGTTGGGATGGGTTTAGGCCGATGGAGAAACCAAGAGGAAGGCAAGAATCAAGAGGGAAGAAACCATTGAGCATCCTTCATGACGTTTAATTTGGGGAAGCGTTTGATGGTCTTCGTTGTAAGATTGAAGACACAGATGTCGAGGCATGACGATTCCTTGTGACAGATACGATCACCACGGGTGAAATAAATGGAGTTAGGCTCAATACCAAGAGTATGGTCAGCAGGCACGGTAATACCCAAATCCAGAAAGAGGGCCTCATCACTTAGAGAATGTACCTCAACAAGCCGGGTGTCGTATGTATCCGGGTCAAGATCTTTAGGATCCCTCTTGTACAAGTGGAACATCCTATGCCTTTCAGAGGTACCTAACTCGTAAGTATAGACAAGCAAAACCAGACCTGATCTTGTAACAACAATGCTTTCGTTAAATGAGATGACCTTATTTTTCTTGATTCTTTCAAGTTCATCCATACTCAGACGTGGCCTCCACATTGGAAGCTTATGTTTTTCGGACACATCCTTGAAACCATCTTCATCTTGTCCAGACAAATCCAAGTGTCGAATGAACTCACGGGTGGAAAAGACGTAAAGATTGTAACCTTTAAGTACCATATCGTATACACCTCGTAACTCCCTCTGAACACCGACCCGTGTTGAAATCTCGCGGTAATGATCATCCCCTTTCCTGCAAAACCCTATATATCCATTCATTTCAAATTGCCACACAACAACGTAGTTTCCATTCTTGTCGTCTACCCACAAACGACCTCTCAGATCTTCGGAAGTATGAAGAATCCCCCCAGGATATGAATCACTGACTAGATAAGGACCCGTCCGATGGACGGGTTTAATTTTTAAAAAATTAAAATTAAATTTAATAAAAAATTAATTAACAATGTTGTAGGTAGAAATTTTCTTTCAAAACCAAAAAAATATATTTATTTTTTCACTGTTGCATTGTTTCTTTAACTACTAAAATTATTAACTCAAAATTATTTCGAATGAAATATATATCACATAGCAATAACTCATGGTATACTTATATGAAGAACTAAAATTAAAAAATATTCATCATAAATTTGGCGAATGAAACCAACGTGGTTATTAATTAGACACGTTAAAAATATAAAGATGATAAATCGACTAAATCTTTTAGCTTTCCAAGCTAACGTTGTGGGTTCGATTCATATATACTCGATTGCAATGACTTTATGATCAATCAATAAAAATAGATAAATTCAAAATATTATAAGCACGATGATATATGAATCTTATAGAATTCAAATATGAACATAGAAATTTAAATAAACAATTTCAAATTCAAAATATCGAAAACAAAGAAGAAGCATATATGGTCCTTACATATTCAAGAATTTCAAATAAACAATATTAAACTTTACTTAAAATCATCACATATTTTTAATTAGAAAATAAAATTGATATAAATAATGTAAATTTGTAATTTAAATCATTAGAACTATGATATATTATAAATCTTATATAATTTAAACTTAACGTAGAATCCAAAATAAATAATTTAAAGATACAACAGTTAAACTAAAAATCAAAAATTCTATATTAAAAAAAAAATTGAAATTTAAAATTCAGAATATTTACCGTATAAATGTTGTGTCATATCTTTCAATTTAGCAAGATCCTCATGATTTCTAAATCGAAATTTTTCGAGGGATATTTTGCAAAACTTTTGATTGACGGATGCGATTGTCGTTCTTTCTGTTAGTATCATCTGAAATTTATGATCAGAAACCTTGTACTCCCTCTGTTTCACAAAGAGTGTCATTCTAGAGTTTTATTTTTGTTTCACAAAGAGTGTCATTCTACATTTTCAATGTAACTTTTATACAAAATTTCCTGATTTACCCTTAACTTAAAGCTACTTCTCATTGAATTTAAATCATTAATCACTTATTAAATAGGGGCATATATGTATAATTCAATGTTTTCTTAATTTGTGTGAAATGTGTCAAAATAACACTCTTTGTGAAACGGAGGGAGTAGTTTTTATTGCAATCTTGCACATTAAAATTGTAAATTTCGATAAGACTTCCTTCACATAACTGAGCTCCAAATTTTTCAATAAGAGAATGATGTACAGAGCCTTGAATTGTATTTTTCTGTTTTGAAATAAATAAAAATTAAAGAAATTAAATAGGAGAATATTTAGGTTTAATGAATAAAATAAAATACATTAAAAATTTACCTTTTCATCAAGTAAGAGGAAATTTGTTCCTATCATTGTTTTTTTAAAAATTTCTCGCTTCCCACTTTCTTGTTAAACGTAGTATCGTTCGATAATAGGAACGTTGTTTTTGTTAAGCTGATCTATTGTTATGTAATCTTTGTTAGTATGTTGAACTTGTACTTGTGTCTTCATCTTTTGTTTGATGATAGCTATTCTGAAACAAAAACTTTAAAAAGAAAAGTAATTTAATTGAAGTAACAACCAAAAACAATATGTATGTAAAACGTGAAAACATAATCTTAGTTACGTAAAGTTAATGTATTAACAACGGCTTGGTTAGTAAATATATAAATATAACATATGCATGAACGTATTGACAAAGACTTGGATCGGAATATAACGTAGACTTAGGTTTTGTAAACAGATTAATATAACGTAGCCACGTAGGCATCATACCTATTGACAAAACAGAATGATGTTGACGCAATGGTGTTTTTTTTTGAAGAGATTTTTGGTTTGGTGAAAAAGTAGGGAACTATCTATTTGTTTATATAGTAGTGAGTATTTAGAATAATTATCTTTTTTAGAATTGTTAATTTCTTTATAATTATCTTTTTATTTTTAAAAATTTAAATTTCTTACACTTATCTTTTTTTTTTAAATTGATAAAAGGAAATTATCGTTTTACATAATTTTATTCAATAAGATACATATTTATAATAATTATCTTATTTAAAATTTTAAAATTGTTTAGTTTCCTTATTATTATCCTTTTACTTTTTTAAATTTACAATTTTTACAATTATCTTTTTATAGTTTTAAATTAATAAAAGGAGTGGAAGCCCCCTTGGCCCTTTGGTTGACCAAGGGTTAATTAATGCTTCTACACCCAGAAGTATGGGGTTCGTGTCCCAGATAATGCGATTTATTAATAAATTTGCAGATTATTGGAGGCAAGTGTGTAGGAGATCTCCAGCGATGTACAATTATAGCCGTTCGCCAGGATTCTACGCAGAAAGAGAAGTGTCCATCAAGAGCATGAAGAAGGAGGTGAAGGAGGTGTCGTCTGTCGTGAATCTAATAAGGGTCGGAAGGAATTGTCCGTTGTAGAATCGTCTATGTAACAGTTCTCATAATTTGTAATAAATAATAAATCCAGACGACAAAAAAAAAAAAAATTAATAAAAGGAAATTTTCGTTTTACAGGTGGCACGATCTGAGATCGATAGATTTGCCACATGTCACAATCCTATGAGTTATTAACTTTTTTTACAATTATCTTTTTATAGTTTTAAAATTAATAAAAGGAAATTTTCTATTTATAGGTGGCACGATCTGAGATCGATAGATTTGCCACATGTCACAATCCTATGAGTTATTAACTTTGAAAACCATACTTTATATAATCTTTTTAAAATTTAAATTTCTTACACTTATCTTTTTTAAAAAAAAATTGATAAAAGGAAATTATCGTTTTACATATTTTTATTCAATAAGATACATTTTTATAAAAATTATCTTATTTAAAATTTTAAAATTGTTTAGTTTCCTTATAATTATCCTTTTACTTTTTTAAATTTACAATTTTTACAATTATCTTTTTATAGTTTTAAAATTAATAAAAAAAAAATTTCGTTTTACAGGTGGCACGAACTGAGATCGATAGATTTGCCACATATCACAATCCTATGAGTTATTAATTTTTTTTAAAATTATCTTTTTATAGTTTTAAAATTAATAAAAGGAAATTTTCGTTTTATAGGTGGCACGATCTGAGATCGATAGATTTGCCACATGTCACAATCTTATGAGTTATTAACTTTGAAAACAATACTTTATATAATAAGAAGATGGTATTCTTATAAATGTCTAAATTACATTTATTTGAAAACATATACAACAGAGAAACAATAAATAAATGTAATTTAGACACTTATAAAAAAGGAACCCAATAAAAAATTGTAATCATACTTGTTTTGGGCTTTTAGTCGGTTCTTATTCTATAAATATGCATATTTCGCTCTCTCTCCCTATTTATAGATTTCATTCTCTCTCTCCTTTCTAATAAGAAACCTCAAAGCTGTGACCGTCAAGTGTGTGTTTTAGGTTTCCACAATGAAGAAAAAAGGTGGACTAAAGAGAAAGATTCCGATTGAGAAACGTGAGACTAACGCACAACGATCGGTGACTTGCAACAAACGCCGTAAAACAATCTTCTCTAAATCCGCCGATCTTTGTCGTCTCGGCGGTGCAAATATCGCCGTCTTTGTAACATCTCCAGCCGAGAGTTCTGATGTCGTATACTCTTTTTCCGGCTACTCTTCTTCGTCTGAGATTGCTGATTGCTACTTCAACGGCAAGCCACCTCCCAAGAAGTTTGACCCCCAAGCCAAATTAGGGTTTTTGTGGGAAGACCCTAATCTTTATCGTAACTGTGATGATCTCTCGGAGTTGAATATCATAGAGGATCGTCTTGAGAGATTGAAGAAGTATATAATGGAATGTCTTGAGAAGAAAGAAAAACTAGAACTTGGTTCTCTCGACGAGATTACTTGCGGGTCTGATCTAAACCCTAACGTTTCTATCGACCAGATTTATGGCAACGCTTCTTCTTCTTCATAAGTTAATCAAAACCCTAAATTTTCTCTCGACTATATATATGGCGAGCCTTCTTCTTCACAAGTAGATCAAAACCCTAACTTTTCTCTCGACTATATCTATGGCGAGCATTCTTCTTCACAAGTAGATCAAAACCCTAGCTCCTCCGTTGATCAAAGCGGGTTATCTTATCTAGAGAAATCTTGTGACTTCGTGAACGGTACCGGTTTTGGATTTACCGATGGGTTATGGGACACAAAGGAAGAGAACAACTCGATGAGTCTAACCCAAGAAACAGAAACAGAGACGATGGGCAATGTTTATGAGGATAGCTTTTGGGATAATCAATTTATGGACAACGTGTTTGGTCTCAACAACTACAATCCTCAGGACATGCTCGACATTGGAGAATTTTTTTATGAAGAAGATATCAAATTACTCCACTCTAATCAGTTCGCAGCTTGAATCGTTCGTATATTGTTTAATCAGGGTTTTGATTTCTAAACCAAGTTATTAACTACCACTAACGGTTTTCAGTTAACATTAATTAGTGCTTAACCCCCTAATGAAATGCAAGATAACTCAAGTTCTTATCATAATGTTTGTTGGGTCGTAATATGTGTTAATACTTGATGAATGCAATTTGATTGTTGCTAAAATTAAATAAAAGTGGTGTTTCTCTACTGAATGATGATGACAAGTTTAATCACAAAACTTTTGGGTTCGGTGTTCCTTTTTTTTTGGGTTTTGTTGATATATATATAGAACCACAAACAAAATGTTTCTCAGGTATAGTTCGCAGTTATGGATAAAAGTAAAAGAAAATTAGACTAATTAAATTTAGCTAATATTTTCATGAACTTCAGTTTCTTCTATCTAGTTTCACAAAATTTGGTCCTAGCTCAGCTAGTACAAAACAATATTACAGTTTAGATTAAAAGTAAAATAAAAATAGATTAGTTTTGTTTATTTATGTCCACAGTTAGTTATTGATTTCATTTTCTAAAAGGTCAATAGTATAATGCATGCAATACATTCATAGGCTTTTCTTATTTTTACCAAAAAAGAAGAAGTAGTAAACTAAATAGATACGACCATAAATGCATCAAAGTCTAGAAAAGTATCAGAATGTTGAGAGTTTGAGACAATAAAACCGTTATTTTGAAGTGTACTTAGATAAATTATACAACCTGAACTGCACATTAGAGATAATAATATATTCCTAGAATCAAACCTGCGAAAGTGTTAAGCAAGCTCTCAAGAGAGTACTGAGGAGTTTAACCAACCTCTTGAATGATCAGGTATCGTGGGACTGATCTTTCTCGATGAAGTCCAACGCCTGATCCTTTGTGATAACATTCACAATACTCACTCTGTTCTTATGAAATACTCCATATATCTTATCCGCAACTCTCACTAGCTCAGGACGGAATGTTGTGGTTATGAACTGCGTGCCATAATCATCAGCTAGACGACGAATCAAGTTTCCTACAGCGGTTCGGTACTGTGGATCAAGTGCCGCGTCAATCTCATCAAAAAGATAGAATGGTGCGGTATCACATCGCTGGATTGCGAAGATTAATGCGAGGGCAACAACAGTCTTTTGGCCTCCCGACAATTGTTTCATCGATTGTGTTTCACCTTGACCAGTGAATGAGACCTACCAAACAAGTGCCAACTATTATCAGCCTGAAAGCCTACACAAAGTATAAATACATTTCTCTAATATGTAGTATCCGCAAGTCTTTCTTTACCTTCACTTTTACACCAATGTATTTCTCAATCCTTCCCTCTGCAACAGCTTGACCTCCATCATCATCATCATCATCTTCATCATCAAGATCCTGAATATGTGTACACAAAATGTTTTATGTCCACCCAACTTATTAGTAAAGAGATCACACAAGCTTTACACAGAGGCAAGAATCATCCAAAAACAGTGCAGATATTGGTGGTCTTACGTAATCCTTGGTGGAGACAAAGGAAAGGTTTATGTAAAAGTCAACGAGACGACAAAAAGCATCAGACAACAATGAAATACCAAGTAAGATGACCAACAAATAGTAGTACCAAGGATATACACTTAAGGCTCACTAGAAAACCTCTACTCGTGATTAATTAGAACACTAAATTGATCTTAAGAGGAAAAAGTTTCATTGAGAAATAGTAAGCAGAAACATGCCTTTTTCTTCATAATGACAAGGTTACCATATCCACCTTGCACAAGCTCAGAGAATACATCCTTGAAGTGATGTGCAACCCCTTTGAAAGTACGTTCTATAGATTCGTCTTTCCGCTGATCCAGAACTGTTATCAGCTCTTTAATTTTCTGCAGAAACGATAATATGTGTCAATCAAGCGCTACTTTCTACATAGAATTTGGCAAAGTGTATGAAACCTCCCATTATTTACCTCATCTCCTGCATCAAGCTCTGCTTGCCGATTTTGAAGTTCTTCTCGCTGTTCTGTGAAATTCACATATTGATCCAGCGCTTTCTTGTTTACATGGCTAAATTGTTGCAGCTGTTCACTGCACCGGTGTAGCATCTTCTGCAGCTCCTTGATATTTTTTCGTTTATACCTATAATATTCCATAGCTTGTACATATTATAGAACTCCTAGGATAAAAATCTCAGGACACGTAACAATTGTCTGCCAATGATGAGTAAGAACTAACTGGACAAAATAAATGAAAATTAGGACTGTATAACTGTAAAAGTTCTAACTAAACTGAGTGCTGAACTGTCTGGATGCATAACCAAAATGAAAGAGAAGAAGCAAACATACGTGTCAAAAGCATCAGATGACAATGGACCCAATCCCCTAATCTTCTTAGTATACTCATCTTGCTTAGCAAGGAGTGTGTTGCGTAGGCTAAATAGCTCCTCCAACTTTTTATCTAAATCCTGTAGTGTCCCCTTGCAATCATCTTCCAATGTCTGAGTGAACAAGAAACTTTTGTCAGATACCTATAGAGAAAAACACAAGTATCTTAATTTACAGATTATATTACCTTTAACTTCGCTTTCTCATCTTTAATTTTCTTGACTTGCTTCGTCTTCTCATCAATGCTGTCACAGACACCTAAAAACACAAAATGGCATTGAGTGTACTCGTCTGAATAGGACAAGACCAAGATCAAGCAATGTCAAGCAAAGTAGATCAGAATGTTTGGGACCCACTTTTGAGCTCTTTTGCGGCCTCATTGACCAACAATTTTGCATCATCAAGTTCTTGTTCTTTTATGCCAGCTGAACTAGGCAAACTATCATCGTCGATGGAAGCTATAGTAGCCTGTAACTCAGTTATTCTCCTCTTTAAGTTGGTAACAATATTAGCCTCCAACTCTGCTTTTCTTGTCTCCCTCTGTGTGTAGTGAAAAGCACACAAATCAGACTTTAAAAACAAAAGGAACGCACATGAATCAGACTTAAAAATAAAAGCACATAAATCAGACTTATTCAATCGAAAGAAATGCAAACCAATCAGAAATCAATTCAAAGCGAGAACAAACATTCAAACTTTTTTTTTTTTCACTGCCAACCTCAATGCGATCTGCCTGGTATGCAAATTTTTTTTCCTTAAGATCCTTGATTTGTGGGTTTAATTGCGACAATTGCACCCTCTCTTCTGGAGTTAGGTGATCCACAAGTTCTGTTCCCATTTCAGCTTCTTTCATAGACATGCTGGATCTGACCTGGTCAATTCGTGTTCTAATATCACCTAGTGATTTTTGCTGCAAACAGATGAAAACATTTAGTATCTACAACATGGGGGAGCGATATAATTAACGCTAAAGGCCACTCCAAAAGATTGAATTGTAAAAAAAGGCACCTTATTTTCAATGGCTTTATGTATAGCATGTTTCTGCTTATTAGCGTTAGCTATCTCTTGCTTCAGTTGCTCCACCTGTAATTTGCAGAGCGTCCAGTCTGCTTCAAGTCTCTGCTGCTCAGTAACAAGCTGTGTAATCTGCTGATCTATCAGTGAGACATGTTAAGGGAACGCTGCACTCAACACCCATCAATGAACAATACGATATAGTTTATCAGAAAACCATAATGCAATAACAGATAAACAAAAGTCAGATATGGAAAGGATATCTTGGAGCTGCCTTTTAACATCCTCCAGTTCCTTCTCCTTCTCATTTATAGACTTTGTATTTTGCATTATGATATTCATGAATCTCAATTTTGACCGCCTGTGGTCATAGAATCCACCGGTCATACCACCCTTTCTGCTTACCTGGTCACCTGTCATGGTATACCAGAACCTTCAGGTACCAAATACATGTTGAAATGGAATGTAAAGTGAATACAAATGCAATTACAGTTCCAACCTTCCATAGTTATACAATCGAGGTCATCATTCTTAGCAACTCTTGTCGCCACATTCAGATCACGACATACTACTGTTCTACCAAAAACCTACATCAAGACACATTACGATTTAATGACATTAACATAAATACAAAAGTAAATATTTCCATCAAAGGTGCCGATATATGTAAATAAGTGGACCATATGAGAACAGAAAGGCACATAAAAAGCTCAGAAAGTGAAAAGAAATTGATGGGCATAAAAGTGGTGGACAGAGAACAAAAGGAACACCTGACCCAATGCCGGTTCAAACTTAGAGTCGAACTTTAACTTTCTCAACAGTGGTATTGCATCAGAATCTTTTGGATAGTTGACGCGAGGCGCCTTTATCCGATTCAGAGGTAGGAAGGTCACTCGTCCACCCTTGAGAGAATTCAGGTGTCTAATTATCTTGGTTGAAATATCATCATTCTCAACTACCACGTTAAATAGGCTGGTCGTAGAACAAGAGATGACAATCATAAGGTAAAAAGTAGATGCACAGTATGAAAATTGTAGCTGTGAGGTAAATACAGCAGGTTTCCCGCATACCTGTTTCCAGCAGTGACTTCAACTGCAGTGAAAAACTTTTCATCGCAATCAACCAACTCAACAAGTGGACCAAAAACTCCATTGATCCTATACTCTGAACAAATCCGTCGAATAGAGTTCAGCCCTCTCCTTACATC